AACTCTCCTCCCTCAGCCACCTGAGTAGCTGGGATTACAGGTGCACGCCACCACACCTGGCTAATTTTTGTATTTTTAAGTAGAGACAGGGTTTCACCATGTTGGCCAGGCTGGTCTCCAACCCCTGACATTGTGATCCACCTGCCTTAGCCTCCCAAAGTGCTGGGATTACAGGCGTGAGCGCCACCGGCCCGGCTGATGCATTCTTAACTCCCTTAAGCCCAGTGTTTGTTAGTGTTCTTACATGCTTCCTAGGACCTCTGCCAAGTAACATGTATCTGAATCTTGCCATCCTTTCTCTCTGCACAGACAGCAATGTTCTTACTCCTCCCCTCCTGTAAGGCAAATCATCTCCGACTTCCCTGAGGACTGCTGCTCCTATAGACTCTCGATGAAGTAAACCTTCTGGTAAAGGGGAAGGGAATTCAGTACCAGCATTGAGAGTCAGCTTACTAAGGTTCTTTATCAATGTCTCGGAGAAGTTTTGAGAGGCCCCTGAATCGTCCCGGGAATTTTCTTCGGTGAGCATTTGTGAAGACTCTGGGCTGAAGGTTGGATTAAACTTCTGTGTTGGGTCCATCCTCGTCTTGACACAACACTAAGCTTCTCCTGGATCTTTGAAACCCAGCATAAACTGATGACAGACCCTCAAATTGCTACAAGGTAGCCTGGAAAGAGACTGAAAACCAGAGCTCCAAGGAATGGTGGAAGAACCGACGTAAACCAATGTTGAGAATTAAGTACCTTAATGGAACTAGTTTGGCTATATTATTAATCAAAATACCTACTTTCATTTTTTAACTTTTTAAATTTTTGAAATGAGCTCTCACTATGTTGCCCTGGCTAGTCTCAAACTCCTGAGCTCACGCAATCCTCTCACCTCATTCTCCCAAAGTGCTAGGATTAGAGGTGTGAGCTACTGCGCCTGGCCAGAATCTGCTTTTCGTACATTTTCTTCTCTTCAGTGTATATTTAGAAACACCTTTGTCTACTCTCCTTTTACTTTGTTCATGGCTTCGGTTTACTATCTTCTGTATTATATTTTAATCATGTTTACATGGTAACGTCACCACATGATTTCAAACTTCTTCCTGGTAAGAGCTCTCTCATTTTTGTATCCTTAGTTTTTAATATACAGCCTAATGTGCAGTGATGAAAGGGAATCGATGAAAGAACAAATATCCATTCATTTGAAAGAACAAACTACCTGGGAACCCAACTACCCTTTAAAACATGTTTAAGGAGAAATATTTCAAGTTTCCATCAAGCTAAGGACTACCTATATCATGTTTACACAATCAAAATTGGTTTTATTGGTTTTTGCCTTTTTCTGCTGCAGAGAGTGTTGACTATTTATTATCCATTCTCTCTTCCAAGCAGAACAAATGCATGACTATGCTTGTCCAAAACAGATAAGCAGTAATATATCCTCACACCAGGTCACAGACATATTATTGGCAATAATAACCAGAGGGGATGAAAGTGGGCAGGGGCTTCAGGTTCATCAGTTCCCAATTTGCAGGCTTTTATAGAACAATTGTTAGGATATATACATGAGCCTCTGCCTCTAAAAGGCTAGTTGTATCAGTCAAAGTAGTCTACTTAACTTTTTCAAATGACAGCTGCGACCATGCACAGTGGCTCAGGTCTATAATTCTAGCACTTTGGGAGGCTGAGGCAGGTAGATCACTTGAGTCCAGGAGTTCAATACCAGCCTAGCCAACATGGTGAAACCCCATCTCTACAAAAAAATACAAAAACTAGCTAGCGTGGTGCTATGCACCTGCAGTCCCAGCTACTCAGGAGGCTGAGGTAGGAGGATGGCTTGAGCGTGGGAGGTCCAGGCTCCATTGAGTGGTGATTGCATCACTGCACTGGGTGACATCACTCCAGCCTGGGTGACAGAGCAAGACTCTGTCTCAAAAAAACAAAAAACAAAAAAAGAAAAAGATAGCCTAGATTAAACCAACATATTTCAAAATTATGGCACATGATACCAAGAAACTCAGTGCCTTAAAAAGTGTTAATTTATTCTCATGGACCTGCACAATGACCCATCTCAGCCTCTGAAACAGCTGGGATTACAGGCCTCCACCACCATACTTGGCTAATTTTTGCTATTAGTTTTTGTTTTGCTATTAGTTTAGTTTAGTTTTGTTTTGTTTTGTTTTGTTTGAGTCAGAGTCCTACTTTGTTGTCCAGGCTGGAGTGGAATGGCGCAATCTTGGCTGACTGCAGCCTCCATCTCTGAGGTTCAAGTGATTCTCTTGCTTCACCCTCCCTATTAGCTGCGATTACAGATGTGCACCACCACACCTCGGCCTCCCAAAGTGCTAGCAAGGCTGAGTTTGGTGGCTTTGCTTCACACAGCAGTTCTGGAGGATGCCTGGTAGGGCCTTTGCTACTGGTGTCTCTCACCCTCTTTGAATCCATGAGATATTCTCATGGAGCTACAGGAAGCATAAGAGTATGCAGAAAGATTGAGGTATCTTAGAGGCCCAAGTTTAGAACTGCACACTGTCAATTCTACCCACATGCCATTGGCCAAAGCACATCAAGAGGAGAAAAATGTACCCTGCCCACCACGAAGTCATGACAAACATGTGGATACAGGCCGAAGTGAAGAAATGGGGTAAATTATTCAATTTACAACAATACTTCTATTTTCTTTGAGAAAAATCAAAGTAGGTCATGGTAGTACATGTAAATGAGAGGGATGGTGTTATTGAAAGCATGTTCAGATAAATTATTTAGTTTATATACGTATTTTTTAAATTTCTTTTTTTTTTTTTTTTTTGAGACAGAGTCTCGCTCTGTCGCCCAGGCTAGAGTGCAGTGGCATAATCTCAGCTTACTGCAACCTCTGCCTCCCGGGTTCAAGAAATTCTCCTGCCTCAGCCTCCTAAGTAGCTGGGATTACAGGCATGTGCCACCACACCCAGCTAATTTTGTATTTTTAGTAGACATGGGGTTTCACCATGTTGGCCCGGCTGGTCTCGAACTCCTGACTTCGTGATCTGCCTGCCCTGGCCTCCTAAAGTGCTAGGATTACAGGCATGAGCTGCTGCACTTGATCTTAATTTTTATTTTTAATAATTATTCTAAAAAAGAGATGGGCCAGGTGCCGTGGCTCACGACTGTAAAACCAGCATTTTGGGAGGCTGAGATTGGCAGATCACCTGAGGTCAGAAGTTCAAGACCAGCCTGGCCAACATGGTAAAATTACATCTCTACTAAAAATACAAAAGTTGACAGGGTATGGTGGTGGGCGCCTGTGATCCCAGCTACTCAGGAGGTTGAGACTGGAGAACCACTTGAACCTGGGAGGCGGAGGTTACAGTGAGCTGAGATCGTGCCACTGCACTTCAGCCTGGGCAACAAGAGTAAAACTCCATCTCAAAAAAAAAATAAAAATAAAAAGACAGGGTCTTGCTATGTTGCCCAAGGCTGGTCCTGAACAACTGGGATCAAACAATCCTCCTGCCTTGGCCTCCCAAAGTGCTAGGATTATAGGCGTGAGCCACCATGCCCAGCCAGGTTTATTTTTAAAAGACATCTTTTATTTATGCTATCTTGTAGCAAATAAATAGAGGAATAACAAGTGTAGAATAACCAATATATAATGGTTTTAATCAGGAGTTGTTAAATTTCTCTATATCTTATCCAAAACTTCTTTTTCTTTTCTTTTTTTTTTTTTTTTTTTTTTTTTTTTTGAGACAGAGTCTTGCTCTGTCACCCAGGCTGGTGTGCAATGGCCCCACCTCAGCTCACTGCAACCTCCGCCTCCCGGGTTCAAGTGATTCTCCTGCCTCAGCCTCTCAAGTAGCTGGGATTACAGGCATGATTTTTGTACTTTTGTAGAGACAAGGTTTCACCGTATTGGCCTGGCTGGTCTTGAACTCCTGACCTTGTTATCCACCTGCCTTAGCCTCCCAAAGTGTTGGGATTACAGGTGTGAGCCACTGCACCCAGCCTAACTTTTTTTTTTTGTTTTTTTTGAGACAGAGTCTCACTCTGTCACCCAGGCTGGAGTACAGTAGTGCAATCTTGGTTTACTGCAACCTCCGCCTCCCAGGTTCAAGCAATTTCCCTGCCTCAGCCTCTGAAGTAGCTAGGATTACAGGCCTCCACCACCATACCCGGCTACTTTTTGTTATTTGTTTTTTGTTTAAGTCAGAGTCTTACTCTATTGTCCAGGCTGGAGTGCAATGGAGCGATCTTGGCTCACTGCAACCTCCACCTCTGGGGTTCAAACGATTCTCTTGCTTCACCCTCCCTAGAAGCTGGGACTACAGATGTACACCACCACGCCCGGCTAATTTTTTGTATTTTAAGTAGAGATGTGGTTTCACCATGTTGGTAAGGCTGATCTTAAGCTCCTGACCTCAGGTAATCTGCCTGCCTCAGGCTCCCAAAGTGCTAGGATTATAGGCATGAGCTGCCACGCCTTGCCAAAAAAAATTTTTTTTTAATTTAAAATAATTATAATCAGGCCGGGCGCGGTGGCTCACGCCTGTAATCCCAGCACTTTGGGAGGCCGAGGCGGGTGGATCACGAGGTCAAGACATCGAGACCATCCTGGTCAACACGGTGAAACCCCGTCTCTACTAAAAATACAAAAAATCAGCTGGGCATGGTGGCGCATGCCTGTAATCCCAGCTACTCAAGAGGCTGAGGCAGGAGAATTGCCTGAACCCAGGAGGCGGAGGTTGCGGTAAGCCGAGATCGCGCCATTGCACTCCAGCCTGGGTAACAAGAGCGAAACTCCGTCTCCAAAAAAAATAATAATAATAATAATTATAATTATAATTATAATCAGACCTACACACTGAAAACTGCAAAACTCTGTTGAGAGAAAATTTTAGAGACATAATAAATGGAAAGTTATGTTGTATATGAGAAGGCTCAATATTGTTAAGGTAACAATTCTCTACTGGGCACAGTGGCTCACACCTGTAGTTCTAGCACTTTGGAAGGCTGAGGCAGGAGGTGGGCTTGAGCCCAGAAGTTTGAGACCAGCCTGGGCAACATAGCCAGACCCCATCTCTAAACAAAAAAAATTTTTTTGAGACAGTGTGTTACTGTCAAGAGGCTGGAGTGCAGTGCACAATCACAGCTCACTGCAGCCTTGACCTCCCCAGGCTTAGGTGATCCTCCCACCTCTGCCTCTCATGTATCTAAGACTACAGTCCTACACCACCACACTCAGCTAATTTTTCTTTTTTTTTTTTTTTTTGTAGAGACAAGAGGTTTTACCATGTTGCCCAGACCAAAAACTTTTTTTTTAATTAGCTGGGAGTAGTGGCACATGCCTGTGTTCTCAACTATTTGGGAGGCTAAGACAGGGGAGTATCATCTGAGCCTTGAGAGGTCAAGGCTGCAGTGAGCTATGATAGTGCAACCTGGGTAACAGAACAAGACCGTGTCTCAAAAAAGAAAAGAAAATAGGCAAAAGATTTTACGGCATTTCACTAAAGATGTACCAACTACAAATAAGCACATGGAAAGAGATTCAATGTCATTAGTTAAGGAAATGCAAGTTGAAACTGCAATGGGGCACCACCACACACCTATTAGAAACCCTTCTAACAGCTTCAAATTAAAGCTGATATTTTTGCACCAACCTAATACCAAGTGTTGATAAGAATATGGAAAAACTAGAACCTAATCAATAGCTTTGGGAATGCAAAATATTACAACCACTTTGTAAAATATTTTAGCAGTTGCTTATAAGATCAACCATACTTCTTTTTTCCCCAATGATAACATTTATCATGCTACCAGCAATCCCATTTGACTACTGATTCAAGAGAAATGAAAACATTATGTCCACACAAAGACGTACTCCAGCCAATGATGGCTCACTCCCAGAATCCCAGCACTTCGGGAGGCTGAAGTGGGAAGATCATTTGAGCCCAGGAGTTAGAGATCAGCCTGCCAACATAGTGAGACTTCATCTCTACAAAAAAAATTTTAAATTAGCCGGGTATGGTGATGCACACCTGTAATTCCAGCTCCTCAGGAAGGTGAGGTGCGAGGATTGCTTGAGCCTAGGAGTTTGATGTTACCGTGAGCTGTGATCATACTACTGAACTCCAGCCTGGGTGACAGTATGAGACCCTGTCTCTAAAGAAAAAGGAAAAAATATTGTTAAAAAAAATTAAACAAAGACATTTGGCAGGGCAACACAGGAGGATCACCTGAGCTCAACAGTTCGAGACCAGCCGGGCGCAGTGGCCCATGCCTGTAATCCCAGCACTTTGGGAGGCCAAGGTAGGTGTATCACGAGGTCAGGAGATAGAGTCCTTCCTGGCTAACATGGTGAAACCCCATCTCTACTAAAGACACAAAAAATTAGCTGGGCATGGTGGCATGCGCCTGTAGACCCAGCTATTGGGAGGCTGAGGCAAGAGAATCGCTTGAACCCAGGAGGCAGAGGTTGCAGTGAGCAGAGGTCGTGCCACTGTACTGCAGCCTGGGCAACAGAGCGAGACTCCATCTCAAAAACAAAACAGTTTGAGACCAACCACCGCCATTTTATTCATAATAGGCAAAATGTGGACATGACCCAATGTTCATAATTGGTAGATAAAGAGTGTGTGATATTGTAAACAATGAATACCACTCAGCAATAAACTGTCCAACTACTAATACGTACATCATGGATGAATCTCAAAGTGCTATGCTAAGTGCAAGAGATGAATCTCAAAACACTGTGCTAAGTGCAAGAAGCCAGACACAAAAGATTGTATAATGTATGATTCCATTTACATGAAATTCTAGGAAAGGTTAAACTAGAGATCACTGGTTGCCAGGGAGTTTGGAAAGAAGAGGTTGAGCACAAAGAGTCACAAAGGGGTCTCACTCTGTTTGTTGCCCAGCCTGGTCTGGAACTACTGAGCTCAAATGATCTTCCCACCTTAGCCTCCTGCATAGCTGAACCTACAGGTGCACCACTGTGCCTGGCCACAAAGGAGCTTTTCGTAAAGTGACAGAAATGTTACACATACTGGCTATAGTGGTGGTTACATGACTGTATATATTTGTCAAAACTCATCAGTTCACTGGGCATGCCACACCCCTGTAGTCCAAGGTACTCAGGAGGCTGAAGTGGGAGGATCGCTTGAGTCTAGAGTTCTAGGCTGTGCTACATTATGATTCCACCTGTGAATAGTCACTGACCTCCAGTCTGGACAACACAGATAGACTTCAGCTTTGCTTAACAAACAGCTTGCTTACTTTTATTTTATATAATTGTATCTCAATAAAACTCATTATTTTAAAAAAGCGATGGATCCACATTATTATATCTCATAATTACAAGAATAAACTGTAAAAGAAGCACTGTTAGGTTTTAAATTCAACTATTTCCTAGACAATATGCTAAATTAACACCAATTAAGATTTGGAGGACAAGGCACACTGGCTCACACCTATAATCCCAGCCCTTTGGGAGGCCTAGGCAAGAGGACTATTTGAGCCCAGGAGTTCAAGACGAACCTCACCAACATGGTGAGACCCTGTCTCCACAAAAAAATTCAAGAAAATATTAGCCAGGCATGGTAGGACACATCTGTGGTCCCAGCTACTCAGGAGGCTGAGGAGGGAGGATTGTCCAAGCCTAGGAGGTCGAGGCTGCAGTGAGCCATGACTGGACCACTGCACTCCAGCCTAGGAAACAGAGCAAAACTCTGTCTCCAAAAAAAAAAAAAAAAAGACTTAGGACAAGTAACTGTAGGAAAAATATACAGCAGAAATTGTTTTCATCACAACCAATTCATCATAAAACTCAAATAAAACCTAAAGTTTGCCAGAACCTATCCAAATATGTAACAGAAAGCAACAAATTATAAAGTATTATTCAATTAGACAAACCATAACTACTTAGATATAAAAAAATTCTCTAGATGTGTTTCATAATGCAGTAAAATAGTGAGTTTTTAATTAAAGTTTTTTTTTCAAATTATGACTTTCTAAAAGATACACTGTTAGTAACATTGTAGTTTTCAGCAACAAACGTTGTGATAAATTATTCACTGATACTGAAGAAAGATGTGAGGTAAGAATCAAAATTCTGATGTGCATCCTGCTTTCAGATGCTTTGACAATACTATTGCACTGCTAGCTGTAAAGTACAGTAGTGCAATAAAGTCAGAGCATTCGTTAGCAGTAATTAGTAGGAAAGGAACACAAAAGCACCTTGCATCAGTTGAAGCTTCAGTGTGAAACGAATTTAAAGTAGGATTGCCATTTTGGACAGAAAACATCCAAAACCAAAAAACATTTATATCAATTTTTTTTTTAAGGATAAGACTTAAATATCAAAGTAATGTTGCTTATTGATGCCTAATATACAAATTAACATTCAAACAGAAACATGCATAGATGTAGACAGGAATTTTGTAAATATGCCCTAAGCTTTAATAGTAATTAGAATGGGTATTGTTAATACTTGAGGATTGGTATTAACAAAACCGGTTATAATTACTACTAAGGCAAAGTTGTAAAAAATAATTCTGTTCTCTGCAGAGATATTGTTTAGCTCCTACTGCAAGGCAATTTACTAATTAACTGCCACATAAAACAAGCTCTTTGAATAAAAGTATCAAAGAAAACAAATGGAAAGTAAAATAAGTTTCTCAATCTCTACCTAATCTATCACTCTGGAATCTAACCCACAATACAAAGAAAACACAAAAGCACTTACCATCTTGGGCTTTTTACTAAAGGCCGTTATAACAATGGAAGGGAATCAATGTGCTCTAAACAGGACATGAACCCTATCTAACTGAATACTATCCAAGGGGATTTTAAAATTTCAGTTAACTCCTGAAATCTTAAATATTACAGCCAGAAGGCATCCCCATTTCCTTCAAACTTAGAAATATCAAGAGAAAATGATAACAGGGGGAGGTGGGACTGAGATTTAAGTAACAAATTTCCTCAGTTCCAAGCTAGTTAACATTCTAATTTTTTAACAGATAAGAACCCAATCAGAAGAAATAGTATCGTAGTATCACACTGTATTACCTTTTGTGTAAAATCACTAGTAGTTCCAGGAAAGAAGGAAGCTAAACAAATACCACTCTATCAATAAGTGAAGGGGGAAAAGTTAGAGAACAAAAATTGCCCTATAATAAGCTTATTCTCCCATTAGTAATGTTGATTGATGCAGAAATACATTTCTGTTATTTTTGCCAACCTCTCTTTAAACAGTCCGGTTCAGCTACTTAGTCAGATTGAGCCTACTAAGAAATGGACTCATATTAAGGACAGCTGAAATGTAAGTGTCTTGGTGTCAAATCCCAGGTCACATAACTCAAATATCAGGATATTTAACTCTAGTAGCTAAGTATCAGGTGTAAAAAACAAATTTAAAGAACAAGTGTTTTCTGAATTGGAGGTTATTACAAACAAGAAAAATATGAAAAAAATTTAAGGTATCAACAAAATTAGGATAAACACTTTCTTTTCAAATTAAATATTATGTATTCTCTTTTTATAAATTAAATAATCAGTGCTAGTTCCTTGACAAATCCTTTACTAATTGATGTAAAACCAAAAATCAGAAAATAGCACAGGAAATCATTTACCCTTAAAATCTTAGAAACTAAACTGGTCCACAAGCATAACATTGTTTTCTAAAAGCACATGGCAAATCTGAAGATGAGATGCACTGTTTTCTACTATCAAGTCTCAAAGCAGTAATATTTAAAGCCATGATAAAAATTCATTTTTAAATCCTAATTATGGAAAATAACTAATAAACTGAAAGGAAAAAAAAAGCTACCACTAATTTACTTGCAAGGATGTAAGAAAGGAAAAAACCTCATTTCTTTTCTTCCTGTCTTCAAAAAGAATTTAAATACTACCCCATCATTCAAACAATATCTAAAAGTTTAAATGTCTGGCTACCTCATAATTTTCTAAAACCTACTTTTTCAAAATGTTTACTTCATCATTGTTCACGTAAAAGAGAATTTGTTCAATCTAAAGAAGTCCTATGAGAATACTGACTCTATTGCAAAGGCCAAAGTTTATAAATTAAACAGCCAACTTGAGAAGCAAACAACCTGTTAAAAGCAGAATGGGCATCATTTAGCAGAAATGAATTTAAGCAGAAATATCTGTCTCAGTAGGGAGGAATTCAGAATGGGAGAAGGGCAAGATAGTCTTAACATTTAAGCCTGTTGACAAAATCAAATTACAATACTTAGTATTTTGTTTTTAAAAAGACGATAAAAAATAATAAAACTTAGAACTAAAAGTTCATTATTACACGTGTGAGTATCTGCAGGAAATTCTTCCTTCTTCCCTGCCATTTCTCCCTACACTTCTCCAACCCCACACACGCTGCACAAAGAAAATTTAAACACAAAATGTTAAAAGCAATTGAAAGCCTTAAAATTAAATTTGCATATGAGAGGCATTCCAATTTATTAGCACATCACATATATCAAGGCCTCACTTTTTCTGGGGTGGGAATGGGGGGTGGGTGAGGTTTCTTCCAGGATCACCACACGTCCTTTCCAAGGCAGAAGTTAGAGACCTAAGATTTAGCTTGGAGAAAGCAGGGAAGGCACAAACGATACCTAAGCAGTAATGCCAGGGAATGGCATGGGGAGGAAGGACTGATTACAAATGAAGAAGAAACAAGTTTTTTACTTTTTTTAAACTTATTTTCTTTCTTTCTTTTTTTTAGGAGTCTCGCTCTGTCCCTGGGCCCAGGTGCAGTGGCATGATCTCAGCTCACTGCAACGTCCACGTCCCGGATTCAAGGGATTTTCAGCCTCCCAAGTAGCTAGGACCACAGGCGCGCGCCACCACACCCGGCTAATTTTTGCATTTTTGGTAGAGACGGGGTTTCACCATGTTGGCCAGGATGGTCTCCATCTCTTGACCTCGTGATCCGCCCACCTCGGCCTCCCAAAGTGCTAGGATTACAGGCGTGAACCACCTCACCCGGCTAATCTTATTTTATTTTATTTTATTTTATTTTTTTTGGGACGGAGTTTCGCTCTTGTTACCCAGGCTGGAGTGCAATGGCGCGATCTCGGCTCACCGCAACCTCCGCCTCCTGGGTTCAGGCAATTCTCCTGCCTCAGCTTCCTGAGTAGCTGGGATTACAGGCACGCACCACCATGCCCAGCTAATTTTTTGTATTTTTAGTAGAGACGGGGTTTCACCGTGTTGACCAGGATGGTCTCGATCTCTTGACCTCGTGATCCGCCCGCCTCGGCCTCCCAAAGTGCTGGGATTACAGGCTTGAGCCACCGCGCCCGGCCTAATCTTATTTTATTTAATAGACAAGCAAACAAAAAAAGACAGGAGCTCAAAGGCAGGCGCTTCCTCCGAAGTCCAGGTTTCTAAGGAAAGCAGCCCAACCTGAAAAAAAAAAAAAAAAGGTAACGCAGGACGAAAAGGACTGAAGACAGAACAAGGGAAGTAAGAGGAAAAAAGCGCGGGCGATCAAGCTGGTAATCTAAGGATAGGAGGGAGGGAATAAAGAGGGCAAATGAGGGACAGATCCTTAAAGAAATCTAGAAGGGCAGCCCCCCCCAACTGGGCGCCCCCGAGCAGGCCAAACACGCCAGCAACAACGGGAGTGCTTTCTAATTCTTCACCCCCGTTTTCTACTTTCACAGATGAATGAAAGTGGACAACTCGAGAGCAGGGTGACTTTCCTGTCCCAATCCCGCCCGCGCTCCAGAAAGGAGCTCGCGGTTCCGATCCCCTTCACTCAAACCTCTTCTCTCACCCAAGGTCTGCCACCTCCGGACCAAACAAAAACGGGTCTAGGGGCTTCCTTGGCCGTTAGGAAGTTGTGTATACAAGCCTAGCATCCTTTCTCAGACTTTCTCCGCCCGCCTTTGAGAACATGAGCGGTGTCGGCGCTACTGGGATTTCTCCCCGCCCCCCTCGGTTTATTCCCCACCCCACCCTCTGTTCCCCTTTCTTGGAGTGTGAACCACCTCTCCTTTCTTGGGACTCTTAGGGATGGTTCCAGTCACGTTTTTTTGGTACAAACACTGAATGCGGTCTGCACCGGGCGCAGTTCCGTGAGGGGTGTAAATCTGAGGGAAACGAACAAGGAATTCCAAAGGCCCCGCACCCTCAGCGTCTCCCGCCATTTCCCTGACGAGTTTCCCGGATGTAACCCCTTCCTCCGCGGCACTTTAGACACCACGGTGGTGGCTCCCTTTGGTGCAGGAGGAGGGAACTCGACTCTGGTCCAGCCTCCGCTGCCGGGAGTTTCCGGCGACTCCAATCCGTGCCCCACCTTCGAGGCCATTGGGAAAAAATAAACTACCCAGTAGATCTCCTTCACTTTGCACTCACCATCAGTTCCAGCTTATCGACCTCCGCCTCCATGTTGAATAGTTGACATTCCTCAGACCGCGGCGGCGCTTAAGCCGCAAGCCATACTAGCATGGAGGGCCTCCATTGGACAGCTGTCACTCAACGTCTCGCACTCATTGGCTCCTCCGTTCCACCGGCTCCCGCCCATTGGCAACTGGGTAACGCCCCTCTGCATGAGACACATTTTCCTGTTGGGCAAAGACACAAAACGCCGCAGGAGGATTGGCTGCTGTGCACATTTTGTTTTCTATTGGCTGCCCCCTGCTCTCTACTTTCAATTTTATAGTTGGGGCGCAGCAGAGAAGAGCTTGCGATTGGTGCAATCGGAAGAAGAGCCGACCAATCACACGAGAGCTTCCACCGACAGCAGAGGGGACGTAACACACCTTTCCTCTCCTGCTTCCCCTCCCCTTCTCTCCCGACTTCCCCTTATTCATACTAGAAGCGCCTCAGCTCTGATTGGCCGGGACACTGTGCTATCTCAGCCAATCACAAGCAAGGCTGTCCTCCTACACTATCCGAAGAGCGAATCATGCAGAAACCGTGTCTACGATTGGTCCCTCCCTGACAAGTATTTAATTTTGAATTTTTCTTTATGGCGTGGGAGAGGCTACAGCCCGGACTCCATCGACTCCCCCGGCTCTTAGACTAGTAAGTGCAGGGACGATTATTTCTTTGTTATCCAAGCTCGTGTCTTGAGTAGCTGGGCCTGTTGATGCTTGTGTTTTTACGGTTTAAGGAGTTGGGGACTTTGGCTGGACACGGAGGGGAAATGGAAAAAGAAAGGGGAAGTTTGGGGCTGGGGAAGAAATGCTCGGCCTGGCTTCATCTTAAGCATACTTCTATTTAATTAACACTAAGCAAAATATGTTTTAGAGCAAACCATCTGCCTTCCTTTTGAACATTTCTTTACATGTTTACTGCTCAAAGTCACAGATCAGCGACATCCGCATCTCTTGGTTGCTTATTACAAATACAAATTCTCGGGCTCCACCCGGATTTGCTGATTCAGAATATGCATTTTAACAATATTTGCTTCAGTGATTTTCTATGCACATTAAAGTTTGAGATGGTACATTTCTTGACTGGGAATATTACTATGTTACTCGGTATTGTCTGGCATCGTGTCAATTTTAAAAGTGTGTCCTGTTTATTGAGTGCCTAATACTGTGCGGGACGAGACTTTAGGGAGCTGCAAAAACAAGACAGGAACAAAAAACAAAAAAAAAGCTTTTTCTTTTTTTTTTTTCTTTTTGCAAAAACAGCATAAAATGTAAAATTAAATATAAGTAAGTACCCGGAAATAATGCTATGGGTGTTCAAGAAGAATCAATTGGGCCGGGCGCGATGGCCCAAGCCTGTAATCCCAGCACTTTGGGAGGCCGAGGCGGGTGGATCACGAGGTCAAGAGATCGAGACCATCCTGGTCAACATGGTGAAACCCCGTCTCTACTAAAAATACAAAACATTAGCTGGGCATGGTGGCACTTGCCTGTAATCCCAGCTACTCAGGAGGCTGAGGCAGGAGAATTGCTTGACCCCAGGAGGCGGAGGTTGCGGTGAGCCGAGATCAGGCCATTGCACTCCAACCTGGCTAACGAGAACGAAACTCCGTCTCAAAAAAAAAAAAAAGAAGAAGAATCAATTGAACTGGTAATGGAAATTAAGCAATCGAAGGCTGTTTATGGAGGAGGGCAAGAGACCTCCATAAAAATGTGTTTTAGGAAGATGGCAATGAAATGCAATAGTCGTTTCTGTTGTTGCCACAGCTTTGAACGTACCCCAGAGCAAAGAATTTTTTTTTTTTTTTTTTGAGTCGGAGTTTCTCTCTTGTTACCCAGGCTGGAGTGCAATGGCGCGATCTCGGCTCACCGCAACCTCCGCCTCCTGGGTTCAGGCAATTCTCCTGCCTCAGCCTCCTGAGTAGCTGGGATTACAGGCACGCGCCACCATGCCCAGCTGATTTTTTGTATTTTTAGTAGAGACGGGGTTTCACCATGTTGACCAGGATGGTCTCGATCTTTTGACCTCGTGATCCACCCGCCTCGGCCTCCCAAAGTGCTGGGATTACAGGCGTGAGCCACCGCACCCGGCCTAAGAACTTTTTTTTTTTTTGAGACTGAGTCTTACTCTGTCGCCGAGGTTGGAGTGCAGTGGCCTGATCTCGGCTCACTTCAACCTCCTCCTCCTGGGTTCAAGAGATTCTCCTCCCTCAGCCTCCTGACTAGCTGGGACTACAGGCACACGCCACCATGCCCAGCTAATTTTTTTACTTTTACTAGAGACGGGGGTTTCATCATGTTGACCAGGATGGTCTTGATCTCCTGACCTCCTGATCCACTTGCCTCAGCCTCCCAAAGTGCTGGGATTACAGTCATAAGCCACTGCGACCGGCCATCATTGCCCTTTATGTAAGTCAGTTTCATATGGTTTAACCTAATATATTGGTGAAAAGGGTCAAGTGTTTGTCTACTATCTTTCCTCTCAACTTCTGACTTTGAACATAGAACATAAGCAGTTAGATGTTTTTATATATCCTATTGTCATCCTGTAATCAGATCCTCATGCCCTAGACAGTTGCAATAGGCTTGTAAGTGGTCTCTTTGTCTTCAGTCATGGTCCCATAAATCAAATTTCCACAATGCTGCCAAAATGTTCTTTCTAAAGGACAAGTATGAGCATGACAATTATCTGCCTAAAATCCATTATTGTTTCTGATGTCTTGGTCCTTATCCACCCTCTAGCTTCATTGATCCCAAACAAAACTTTATGTTGCAGGATATGCTTGGTCACAATGAGTCCTTTCTGTGATTCCTCTGACATACCTTTCTGTGAAATGTTTCCATGTTATTCCCTCTGGTGAGATGAGTCCTCCCCAGGTCCACCTTAACCTATCCCCTTCATCAAAGCTCAGCTTAAGGAAAATCTTTTCCAAAAACCTCAACCCTATGAAAGAGTTATGTACCCTTGCTTTATTTCTCTGTTAACATATACGTTTCCCATCATAACCCATACCATATTGTATACCCGTTTACTTTCTGCTTACCCTTCTCTCCCAACTATAAACCCTTGGAGGGCAGGGATGTGTCTTGTTCATCTTCATAGCAAGTTATCACTATATGTTGACTTAAACTTAACTTCTGTATGTTAAAAAATCAGATACAGTAATCTCAAGCAGTAAAAAAAAAAAAAGAAAGAATAATAATAATAATAATGATAAAACTTACTGCCTGCCAGGAACTGTAAATACTTTACCTGATTTACTCATGTACTCCTCAAAACTCTGAAGTAACTTCCTGTTAATATTATTAAATTGAGCCAGGTGCTATGGCTCACGAATGTAATCCCAGCACTTTGGGAGGCAGAGGCGGGTGGATCACGAGGTCAGGAGTTTGAGACCATCCTGGCCAACATGGTGAAACGCTGTCTCTAAAAATAAATAAATAAACAAACATACATACATACATACATATATATTATTAATTCACAGGGGAGGAAACTGACACAGAAAGGTTAAAAACCTGTTGGAGGTCATAAATAATAATTTATGACAGTATAGTAGAGCCATGATTTGAACCTATGCAGTATAAGTTCCTGGTCCTCACCCTTAACCCCTACAGTATACGTCCTCTTGTTTTTTGTTTGTTTGTTTGGTTTAATTTTGGGGGGGTTTCTGAGGCAGAGCTTCATTCTAATTTTTATATTTTTAGTAGAGATGAGGTTTCACTATGTTGGCCGGGCTGGTCTCAAACTCCTGACCTCCAGTGATCTGCCCACCTTGGCCTCTCAAAGGGCTGGGATTACAGGTGTAAGCCACCATACCTGGTCTATAATATTGTCTTTATTATTGTTTGATTTGTTATCAGGAGCTCCAGATATACCAGTTTTCTGGTTCCTTAGCCTAAAAATCTTTTAATGAAAAGAGGATATAAGTAAAAATGAGAGTAATTTCTAGAGATCATAGAATTACTTAGGATATATTTATGTTGTTGTTTTTTCTTTTTTTTTTTTTTTTGGAAATAGTTTCTTGCTCTGTCTTCCAGGCTGGAGCGTAGTGGCGCAGTCATGGGTCACTGTAGCCTCAAACGCTTACGCTTATGCCAGCCTCCTCCCTCAGCCTTCGGAGTGGCTAGGACTATAGGTGGGCCACCACTATGGGCTTTTTTTTTTTTTTTTGGTAGAATTGGGATTCTCACTATGTTGCCCCGTGTGGTCTCAAATTCCTGGGCTAAAGGGATCCTCCCACCTCCACCTCAGCTTCCCAAAGTGCTGGGGATTACAGGCGTGAACCACCGCCCCTGGCCTGTATGTTTTTGTTTCTAATGATTTTTCAGATTATTTGAGAAAGCAGTGTAAGAAAAAAAATTAGTTTTAAAAATACATAGGCCAGGCATGGTGACTCACGCCTGTAATCCTAGCACTTTGGGAGGCCAAAGCAGGCAGATCACCTGAGGTCAGGAGTTCAAGACCAGCCACACCAACATGGCAAAACCCTGTCTCTACTAAAAATACAAAAATTAGCTGGACATGGTGGCACGCGCCTGCGGTCCCAGCTACTTGGGAGGCTGAGCCAAGAGAATTGCTTGAACCCGGGAGGCGGAGGTTGCAGTGAGCCAAGATTGTGCCACTGCACTCCAGTCTGGTGCCTGGTGAGAGTGAGACTCTTATCTCAAAAAAAAAAAAAAAAAAAAAATACAAAAATTAGCCAGGCCTGATAGCATGCGCCTATAGTCCCAGCTGCTTGGGCAGCTGAGGCAGGAAAATTGCTTGAACCCGGGAGGCAGAAGTTGCAGTGAGCCGAGATCGTGCAACTGCACTCCAGCCTAGCCAGCTGACAGAGCGATACCCCATCTCAAAAAAAAAAAAAAAACATAAGGGCTGGGTGCAGTGCTTCGCACCTGTACTTTCACCACTCTGGGAGGCTAAGGCCAGTAGATTGCTTGAGCTCAGGAGTTTGTGACCAGCTTGGGCAACATGGTGAAACCCTGTCTCTACTAAAAATAGAAAAACCAGCCAGCCATGGGGATGCACCCTTGTAGTTCTAGCTACTCAGGAGGCTGAGGCAGGATTGCTTGAGTCCAGGAGGTCAAGACTTCAGTGAGCCAAGATCGTACCACTGCACTCTAGCTTGGGCAACAGAACAAGACCCCCTCTCAGAAAAAAAGGAAAAATGTTTTAAGGAATCACAAAAGAATGAGTTTCTATTCAATGTTAACAATTAAAATCTCACCTAATCCAGCAAAAAAGAATGTGTAGGTCTCATTATCCTTTTGGAAAGGGGATAAGTATATGTATTTTAAGCTAGAGGAAGACTCCTATATACTCTTTCAATTTGGGCAATTATCCTCTGGAAAGTACCTACTGCTTTTAATAAAGTAATGATACATAAAAAAAAAAAAAACCTTGCTTTTTTGAGCTCTTGTTCTGACTGAGGTAGAAATTTGCTATTCTCCACTTTTACAAGAGCTGTGATTATTTTTGGATGGAACAACTATCTAGGAATTATCTTAGACTGCATGTTTCTACCCTGACAGATTTAGCATAGTTCCTTAATCCTCTGCATGTGCCAATCACTGTATTTAATTAGCAGGAGATTAGATAGAAGCACTAATAACCCAGGTTAGACACACAGACACAGACACACATACATACACACACACACACACACACACACACACAGAGAGAGAGAGAGAGAGAGAGAGAAGAAAACATGACTTAGTTCCTAGACATCTTTTTTATTGAAAAATAATTCCCAAAATGACAGACATTGGCTTGTGTAGGACTCTTTGGAATTTGAATGCATAGACATTGGAACAGCCACCAGGAAAGGACTAGCAAGAGATGGCCCTGTTTCAGAATGGTGGTACTCAACTTTTCCAGCTAATGGTACATACTAAAGTTTAAACGTCAAACACACTACTAGCCTTATTATTATTATTATTATTATTATTATTATTATTGAGACAGTCTTGCTCTGTTACCCAGGCTGGAGTGCATTGGCATGATCTTGGTTCACTGCAACCTCCGCCTCCCAGGTTCAAGCAATTCCCTGCCTCAGCCTCCTGAGTAGCTGAGATTATAGGTGCATGCCACCACGCTCAGCTAATTTTTGTATTTTTAGTAGAGATGGGGTTTCCCCATCCTGGCCAGGCTGGTCTTGGACTCCTGACATCATCATCCACCTGCCTCAGCCTCCCAAAGTGCTGGGATCGAGCCACTGCACTCCAGCCAACAAAAAAAATGGTAGTCCAGTTTAAACCACACTTCTGTAATCCTGACTCCCAGTTGTCAGAGGCAACAGTACTGTCTTGTAATTATTTCTTCTGGTATTTGCCTTCATATTTCTAAGCAACATTCATACTATTATTTCATGATTTTTTTTTCAAGTTTAGACACTATATAAATTTAGACAAATACTGACATTTTCTCTCCTTCTTCCCAGTATACCTACATCATCATTTTTGTTTAAATAAATAGTCAATGCTTATACTTTTTTTTTGAGATGGAATGTCACTCTGTTGAACATGGTGAAATCCCATCTCTACTAAAAATACAAAAATTAGCCAGGTGTGCACCTGTAACCCCAGCTACTCAAGAGACTGAGGCAGGAGAATTGCTTGAACCCTGGAGGGGGAAGTTGCAGTGAGCCGAGATTGTGCCACTGCATTCCAGCCTCAGAGACAGAGTGATACTCCGTCTCAAAAAAAAAAAAAAAAAGAATTCTAGGATGGAGCCAGGCATAGTGTCTCATTCCTGTAATCCCAGCACTTTGGGAGGCTGAGGTAAGAGGACTGCTTGAACACAGGAGTTCAAGACCAGCCTGGGCAACAGAAAAAGAATGGGGGAGGACCGTGAAGGGTCAGATGGAAGACAAAAGGAGGTTATTCGGGGAGTTTCAGATACTAGGGCTCCCAACCAGTGGACTCAGCCTTAGGTAGAAGTTTCCAGTGGCATTTGTCTATAGAAGGTCGTGACCGTACAGGAGACCACCCTGGCCAACATGGTGAAAACCCATATCTACTAAAAATAAATAAATAAATAAATAAATAAATAAAATTAGCTGGCCATGGTGGCGCACACCTGAAATCCCAGCTACTCTGGAGGCTAAGGCAGGGGACTCATTTGAACCTGGGAGGCGGAGGCTGCAGTGAGCCAAGATCATGCCACTACACTCCAGCCTGTGTGACAGACCAAGACCCTCTCTCAGGAAATAAAAAGATCCTGACCATAGATTTGATGAAGTGTAACCATTTTTTTTTTTAGGCAGCCGTGAGATTACGCCTTCCTAGGAGGCTCTCCTAAATATCTTCCTCATAGTATTTTTATCTTGTGGTTTTGTTTTGTTGTTTATGTGCTTGTTTGTTTTGGAGACAGGGCCTCCCTCTGTTGCCCAGGCTGGAGTGCAGCGGCACAATAAAATTCACTGCAGCATCAAGCTTCTAGTCTCATGTGATCCTCCCACCTCAGCCTCTTGAATAGCTGGGACTACAGGCTTGTGTTGTTTTAAGTTAAACGAACAAAAAGTCAGTCCTTTAGACATCCCGTGTGTTTAATAATCCCTGCTTCACCTTCCTTCATTATTTCAGCAGGAAGAAAAAGTGATATAATAGAGGTGAAGTCAACCAACTATGTTTGGTGTGTTTTCTAAGCCCCTAAGGAAAATTAAGAGCTTTTCTTAATTATCAAATTGGAAACTGATAGGCTAATAAGATGCTATCAAGAATCTCATCTTCTGGCTGGGCGTGGTGGCTCACGCCTGTAATCCAAGCACTTTGGAGGCCAAGGTGGGCGAATCACCTGAGGTCAGGAGTTCAAGACCAGCCTGACCAACATACCGACATGGTGAAACCCCGTCTTTAAAAAAAAAAAAAGGATCTCTACTTCTAGGAGGAGGGCCGTGGATAGATGCACTGCCACCGTTTGCCATTAGGGGTGCCCTCTGCAAGTCTTGGAACCAAACCAGTGCTCAGTTTTTACAACCTGCAACAGGGTAGTGGGGTTTCATCAGCCAGTGGAATCTGAGCACTGAGCAAGTATAGTGCTGCATACCAAGTGCTGAAAGGTTTCTGAGTGAACAAAAGTGGAATGAATGTGTATTTTAAAGGCCAATTGTTCCCATTCAAATCTGAGTTTGAAGGGAAAGAGGCCCAGACCTTGAGATAATTTTCAGTTCTGCTACTTGAATAACATCTTTGTTCCTCAAGTAGCAACAACTAAAACCAGCAAAGCCCTTCTGGAACTTCAGCTCAAACTAGCTGTGACTTAATTTTCTTCAGAAAAGGATCCAGACTGAAATGTGAATATACTAGATAATGTTTCTGTTCTGTTTTTCCATTTCGTACTACAGCTACAGAGACCATTTTATTGAAGGTTTCCAAAGTGTTCACTTGGTCACAATCAAGATAATGGTAACACATATTTAATGGTAATATATTTAATGTTAAATTGATCATTATGATATATCGATATATAGATGTATGTTAGCCTATAGTTTATTAGTATGTATATATATATATATATATTTTTTTTTTTTTTTTTTTTTTTAGATGGAGTTTCACTCTGTCGCCAGGCTAGAGTGAGACTCCTATAATCCCAGCACTTTGGGAGGCCAAGGTGAGCAGTTCACAAGGTCAGGAGTTTGAGACCAGCCTGACCAACATGGTGAAACCCCTTCTCTACTAAAAATACAAAAAAGTTAGCTGGGTGTGGTGGCTCGTGCCTATAATCCTAGCTACTCAAGAGGTTGAGGCAGGAGAATTGCTTGAACCTGGGAGGCAGAGGTTGCAGTGAGCTGAGATCAAGCCACTACACTCCAGCAGCCTGGGCAACAGAACAAGACTCCATCTCAAAAAAAAAAATGCACTTTATTTTGACAGATCCTAATTTGCTGTTACTGCATCAAGTGGCATTGCCACTTAATTTTTTATTTTTTAACTTTTAAAATTTCATTTTGATTATTTTCAAATTGGCCAATAATAATTATACATATTTTAGGGGTACATAGTGATGTTTTGATACATATAATGTATAGTGAATAGATCAGGGTAATTAGCATATTTATCATCTCAAACATGTATCCTTTATTTGTGTTAGGAAAATTCAATACCTTCCTTCTAGCTATTGGAAACTATAGTTTAGGAGCTGTAGTCACCTAGAAACTAGATAACATATTACTGGGTTTTTTTTGTTTTTTTGTTTTTTTTTAAAGATGGAGTTTCACCATGATGGCCAGGCTGGTCTTGAACTCCTGACCTCAGGTGATCCACCCACCTCGGCCTCCCAAAGTGCTAGGATTACAGGCGTGAGCCACCGCGCCCGGCCTCATATTATTGTTAACTATAGTCATCCTACAGTGCTGTGGAACACTAGAAGTTATTCCTCTTGTCTAGCTGTAATTTTGTTACTGGAAAGGGGTCCCAGTCCACACCCCAAGAGAAGATTCTTGGACCTCATGCAAGAAAGAATTCAGGGCCGGGCGCGGTGGCTCAAGCCTGTAATCCCAGCACTGTGGGAGGCCGAGGCGGGTGGATCACGAGGTCAAGAGATCGAGACCATCCTGGTCAACATGGTGAAACCCTGTCTCTACTAAAAATACAAAAAATCAGCTGGGCATGGTGGCGTGTGCCTGTAATCCCAGCTACTCAGGAGGCTGAGGCAGGAGAATTGCCTGAACCCAGGAGGCGGAGGTTGCGGTGAGCCGAGATCACGCCATTGCACTCCAGCCTGGGTAACAAGAGCGAAACTCCGTCTCAAAAAAAACAAAAAAAAAAAAAGAAAGAATTCAGGACAAGTCCACAAAGTAAAGTGAAAGCATGTTTATTAAGAAATTAAAGGAATAAAAGAATTGCTATTCCATAGGTAGAGCAGTGGCATGGGCTGCTCAACTGAGTATACTTTAGTTGTATCTTGATTGTATGCTAAACAAGGGGTGGATTATTCATGGGTTTTCTGGGGAAAGGGTGAGGATTTCCCAGAACTGAGGGTTTCTTCCCTTTTTAGACTGTATAGGGTAACTTCCAGACATAGCCATGGCATTTGTAAACTGTCTTGGAGCTGATGGGAGTGTCTTTTTCTATGCCAATGCCTTATAATTAGCGTGTAATGAGCAGTAAGGATGGCCCGAGGCTACTTTCATTGCTCTCTTGGCTTTGGCCAAGTTCTTTACTGCATCCTGTTTTATCGCAGGGTCTTTGTAACCTGTATCTTGTGCCAACCTCCTATCTCATCCTGTGACTAAGAATGCCTAAATGGAGCCCAGCAGGTCTTAGCCTCATTTTACCCAGTCCCTATTCAAGGTGGAGTCACCTGGTTGAAACGCCTCTATTTTGTATCCTTTAACAAATCTCTCCCTATCCCTCCTTCCTCCCCACATTTCCCAGCCTCTAGTATCCTCTGTTCTACTAGGTAATGCTTTTATTTGACATTATTTTATTTATTTATTTATTTTTGAGTTAGAATCTTGCTTTGTCACCGGGCTGGAATGCCATGGCATGATCTCAGCTCACTGCAACCTCTGTTTCCTAGGTTCAAGCGATTCTCTTGCCTCAGCCTCCTCAGTAGCTGGGACCACAGGCACATGCCACCATGCCCAGCTAATTTTTGTATTTTTAATAGAGACAGGGTTTTGCCATGTTGACCAGGCTGTTCTCAAACTCCAGGCCTCAAGTGATCTGCCCGCCTCAGCCTCCCAAAGTGTTGGGATTACAGGCATGAGCCATCTCACCCAGCCAGTGATGTTTTAAAATACTTTATTTTAATTTTTATTTATTTATTTTAAAAATATTATTTCCTTTAGAAAAAAGATGGTGTTTCACCATGTTGGTCAGGCTGGTCTTGAACTCCCGACCTCAGGTAATCCACCTGCCTTGGCCTCCAAAGTGCTTGGATTACAGGCGTGAGCCACCACGCCCAGCCTAAAATGCTTTAAAATAACTGTTTTAAGGCCCACGCCTGTAATTCCAGCACTTTGGGATTATGCCACAGGGTGTGGTGGCATGTGCCTGTGGTCCCAGCTACTGAGGAGGCTGAGGCAGGAGAATTGCTTGAACCCGGGAGGTGGAGGTTGCAGTGAGCCGAGATTGTGCCACTGCACTCCAGCCTGGGAAACAGAGCTACACTGTGTCTCAAAAAATAAAATAAAATAACTTTTAAAAATAATAATAATAAAATAACTTTTAAAACACCCATGTCTAGGCCGGGCGCGGTGGCTCACGCCTGTAATCCCAGCACTTTGGGAGGCCGAGGCGGGTGGATCACGAGGTCAAGAGATCGAGACTATCCTGGCCAACATGGTGAAACCCCATCTCTACTAAAACTACAAAAAAAAATTAGCTGGGTGTGGTGGTGGGCGCCTGTAGTCCCAGCTACTTGGGAGGCTGAGGCAGGAGAACTGCTTGAACCCAGGAGGCGGAGGTTGCAGTGAGCCGAGGTCACACCACTGCACTCCAGCCTGGTGCCTGGTGACGGAGTGAGACTCTGTCTCAAAAAAACAAAAATAAATAAAAATAAAATAAAATAAAATAAAATATAACACCCATGTCTTAAATTTGGGGTAATTGTAATTTCATTTTACAGTATATTGCCTATTTAATCTAGTCTCACACCACAGCATATCAGAAAGAACATGGAAGACTTACAGGTCTAAACTTTACGGCATTGTATTGACAGATTGTCTAATCTTTCTTACCCTCAGTTTATTCTACTGTAAAAATGGGAATAAAAATCCTCCTTGTCAGGGATAATACCTTGCAGAATAGTGAGGGTTAACTGAAAAGATGTATGTGAAGATGCCTAAAAGTAAAGGGGTGTTGAATAAATGGTTAATGTTTCCTCATCTTACTACCAATTCCGCCTGTCACAGTGGATGCTTAGTAGATGCTGCTGATAAAGAAACATATTCTTTTAATAACTGACTATAACCCAACTACAACCATTTTCACTACTATAAAGAAAGGGAAATTCATTTGACTTAATGAAGAAAAGCAACACAAACAAACCAAACTTAGAGAATAATATAATGCCAAGACCGAGATCGCTCAAGAGATAGTTTAAATCTGGGTTTACATTTTCCTCTACTTCAGGGCTTTTCTGGGATGTTGGTAGTGACCTATTTCTGAACCAAGATGGTGTCTATAAGGATGTGTTCATGGTATGATAATTCATTTAGCTATATACTTAAGATCTGTGTATTTTCTATATGTATATATTATTCTTCAATTAAAAATGTAAAAAATTTCTCTGCAGAAACCATGCCCAAGTTCAAACAACGAAGAAGAAAGCTAAAAGCCAAAGCCAAAAGATTATTGAAAAAAACAGAAGCCTCCCACATTCAGTCCAAGCTAATTACACCTCCTCCTCCACCACCCTCACCAGAAAGGTAAGGAATAATGTGGAACAGAAAAAAATACTAGAAAGATCTGATCAGTTTAAGATAAAGTTTCCAGATTTAGCAAATAAAAATAGAAGGCAGGGCCAGGTGCAGTTACTCATGCCTGTAATCTTAACACTTTGGGAGGCTGAGGCGAGTGGATAACCTGAGGTCAGGAGTTCCAGACCATCCTGGCCAATGTGGCGAAATCCTGTCTCTACTAAAAATACAAAAACTAGCCAGACATGATGGTGGTTATCTGTAATCCCAGCTACTTGAGAGGCTTAGGCAGGAGAACTGCTTGAACCCAGGAGGCAGAGGTTGCAGTGAGCCAAGTTAGTGCCACTGCACTCCAGCCTGGGCAACAGAGCGAGACTCCATCTCAAAAAAAAACAAAACAAAAAAAAAGAAGGCCCAGTTAAATTTGAATTTCAGATAAACAGTGAATAATTTTTTCATATAATTATGTCCTATGTGATATTTGGAATATATTTATACTAAAATTATTCGTGCTTTATCTGAAATTAATTTTTTAATTTTAATTTTGATTTATTTATTTTTGAGATTGAGTCTTACTCTGTCACCTAAGCTGGAGTGCAGTAGCACAATCAAGGCTCACTGCAGCCTCGACTTCCTGGGCTCAAGTGATCCTCCCACCTCAGCCTCCCAAGTAGCTGGGACCATGGGTGCGTACCACCACACCTGACATATTTTTTATTTTTTGTAGAGATGGAATCCCACTACGTTGCCCAGGCTGATTTCAAAATCCTGGGCTCAAGCAATCTTCCCGACTCAGCCCCACAAAGTGCTGGGATTACAAGTGTGAGCCACTGTGCCCAGCCTGAAATTAAATTTTAACTGGACGTCCTGAATTTTACTTGGCAAACATAGTTTCAGAATTCTATAGGAGCACAGGGAAAACTTCCCCTTCCATTTCTGAAGGTTCATGGAAAAATCAACTGACAAAAGAAAAAGATTAATCAAAGAAAAGACATACAAATGTATTGATGTGCACACAGGGGAAAACCACAGAATGATTATCCCAACCCCTCAGTGGGGTTCAGTACCTTATATACCATCTTGAGGTTGCAGAGAGAATGGGAGCTTAGATTGTGTCAAAACAGCTTATGGGAGATGGAGAAGAGGAGGCCTGGCTAGCAAAGGTGGTCTTGTTTGCGATGAAACCTCACAAGTAGCAGCCCTCAGAGACAATAGATGGTAAATGTTTCTTTCAGATCTTTAAAGGTGCCAGGCTTTCTGTGAATCTTTTCTAGATCTGAATGGACAAGGGAAAGCCTCAGAGAAAGTCTGGCAGCATCAACGCAGATTTTCTTTACAGATGCAAATCTCTCCCACCAGAGACAACTTCACGGCTATTACTGTATTTCTAGTCCTTCTGCATACCATCCTGAACTGTGTCAAGGACATCTATTTTGGGGCAAAATATTTTGGTTTCTGGCCTGGCACAGTGGCTCATGCCTGTAATCCCAGCACTTGGGGAGGCCAAGGTGAGAGAATCGATTGAGCCCAGGAGTTCAAGACCAGCCTGGGCAACATAGTGAAAACCTCATCTCCAAATAATAAAAGTAAAGTTATAGCACTGAAATGTCCTTTGATGTGATAAAAAAAAAAAAAAAAAAAAAAAAAAAAAAAAAAAAAAAGAAAGAAAGAAAGAAAGAAAGAAAGAAAGAAAAAGAAAAATAAAAGTAAAGTTAAAAGAAAGAGAAATATTTTGGTTTCCTTCACTTCATTTGAAGTGAAAATAACAAGGAATTATATTCAAATGCAAAGTAACTACTTTTTTCTTCCCTTGTGAATTTAATGGCATAAATCTGGTAACTAAATAATGAAAGAAGGGCATAGGACTGCAATTGCCTGACAGGTTCTCCTTGTCCATTGCCCAGAAAAAGCCAGTTCACTGAGATAGTGGAATTGCAGTAGAAAAAGAACTTAATAAATGCAGAGCTGACTATGTGACAGACCAGAGTTTCTTACTATAATCAATTTCCCCAAAAATTCAGAGACTAGGGTTTTTTAAGGATAATTTGGTAGATAGCGGGCTAGAGAATGTGGAATGCTTATTGGTTGGGTAGAGATGAAATCACAGGGGGTCAAAGTGTGTTCTTCTTGCTGTCTTCAGTTCCTAGGTAGGATCACAGAACAAGTCGAGCCAGTTTTCCAGTCTGGGTGGTGCCAGCTGGTCCATCAGAATGCAGGGCCTAAAAAATATCTTGGGCCAGATACCAGGGCTCACACCTGTTATCCCAGCACATTTAGAGACAAAGGCAGAAAGATCACTTGAGCTCAGGAATTCAAGACCAGCCTGGGCAACACAGCAAAACTTTGTCTCTATTAAAAATTAAAAATAAACCAGGCGGGGTGGCTCAAGCCTGTAATCCCAGCACTTTGGGAGGCTGAGGCGGGTGGATCACAAGTTCAGGAGCTCGAGACCAGCCTGGCCAATATGTAGAAACCCCATCTCTACTAAAAATACAAAATTATCCAGGCATGGTGGTGGCATGCCTGTAATCAATCCCAGCCACTCGGGAGGCTGAGCCAAGAGAATTGTTTGAACTCCAGGAGGTGGAGGTTGCAGTGAGCCGAGATCTGGCCACACTCCAGCCTTGGCAACAAAAGGGAAACTCTGTCTCAGAAAAATAATAAAAATAATTAAAAATGATTATCCAGGCATGGTGGCATGCACATGTAGTCCCAGCTATTCAGGACGCTAAGGTGTGAGGAATGCTTGAGCCCAGGAGATCCAGACTACAGTGAGCTATAATTGTGCCACTGCACTCCAGCCTGAGTGACAGAGACCCTGTCTCAAAAAAAGAAAAAGACCTTGAACAGCAATCTTAGGTTTCACAATAGTGATGTTATCCATAGGAGCAGCTGGGTAGGTTAGGAATCTTGTTGCCTCTGGCTGTATGACTCCTGAACCATAATTTCTAATCTTGTGGCTAAATTGTTAGTTTTACAAAGGTGATCTAGTCCCCAAACCAGGACAAGGTTTATTTTGTGAAGGGGCTGTTAGCATCTTTGTTTCAAAGTTAAACTGTAAACTATATTTTTCCCATAGTTAGCTCTACCTATACCCAGGAATGAACAAGGGCAGCTTGGAGGTGAAAAACAAGATGGGTCAATTAAGTCAGATTTCTTTCACTGTCATAATTTTCCTCTGTCAGATTTTGTTCTCACTGTCACAATTTTTGCAAAGGCAATTTCAGGACTAGAATTTAAATCTTCATTTAAAATATTAGTTTAAGTTTGGTAATTTATTTTCTGACACTCACAACTTAAATGGGCCATTCAAAGAGATGAGACTCTGGGCCAGCATGGTGGCTCATACCTGTAATCCCAGCACTTTGGGAGGCTGAGGCTAGAGCATCACTTGAACCTAGGAGTTCAAGGTTACAGTGATTAAAAACAAAAAAGAAAAGAAAGAGATTCTGTGTTCCTAGGGGGCTGGTTTACACAGTAACTTTTTTGTTATAGCTCTTTTTACAGAAAGTTTTTTAAAACAAACAGACCCTTGCAGTGCAGTAACCATGATAATACCACCTTGATTCATTTCTCTCTCTCTTGAATATTGTAATAGCCTCCTAACTGGTCCTCCTGCTTATGTCTTTGTCCCTCTGCCATGGATTCTCAATGCAGTAGCCAGAGCAAGCTTTGGAAAAAAAAATTTTTTTAATTAGTGCTTGTTTATTTAATTCTATTTACTTCTTCTTCTTCTTCTTTTTTTTTTTTTTTTTTTTTTTTTTTTGAGACAGAGTCTTGCTCTGTCTCCCCGGCTGGAGTGCCATGGTACGATCTCTGCTCACTGCAGTCTCCACCTCCTCCTGGGTTTAAACAATTCTCCTGCCTCAGCCGCCCAAGTAGCTGGGACTACAGGTGTGCATCATGACCCCAGGCTATTTTTTTTTTTTTTTTTTTTTTTTTTTTTTTTGAGACGGAGTTTCGCTCTTGTTACCCAGGCTGGAGTGCAATGGCGCGATCTCGGCTCACCGCAACCTCCGCCTCCCGGGTTCAGGCATTTCTCCTGCCTCAGCCTCCTTAGTAGCTGGGATTACAGGCACGTGCCACCATGCCTACCTAATTTTTTGTATTTTTTTTTTTTTGTTGACAGAGTTTTGCTCTTGTTGCCCAGGCTGAGTGTAATAGCGAGATCTTCGCTCACTGCAACCTCTGCCTCCTGGGTTCAAACTATTCTCTTGCCTCACCTTCCCACCACACACAGCTAATTTTTGTATTTTTAGTAGAGATGGGGGTTTCACCATGTTGGTCAGGCTGGTCTCGAGCTCCTGACCTTAAGTGATCTGCCTGCCTCAGCCTCCCAAAGTGCTGAGATTACAGGAGTGAGCCCTACACCCAACCAATTTTGTTTACTTCTATCAGGTGCGTGTGTGGACTCCCTATAACACACCCAGTTTCTAACATGGTAGTTACAAGACAGGTGAGACTATTTACCCATTGGTCTCCTTTTGTTTAATTTTCTGTCAAAGTAAATACAGTTACATTTAATTGCTAGATAGTTTTCCCCAATCATGTTGCCATAGTACACAAAGTTAATGCTAAAATGTAACTTACCTAATCCCTAGATCTCAGCTCACTGCAACCTCCACCTCCCGGGTTCAAGCGATTCTCCTGCCTCAGCCTCCCATGTAACCGGAATTACAGGTGCCCATGACTGCGCCCAGCTAATTTTTCTATTTTTAGTAAAGACAGGATTTCTCCATGTTGGCCAGGATGGTTTCGAACTCCTGACTTCAGGTAATCCACCTGCCTTGGCCTCCCAAAGTGCTGGGATTACAGGCATGAGCCACTGTGCTCCGCCAACAGGTATTTTCTTTAGGAAAAAATTTCAAGTTAATAAACCACTTTAGGCCAAAGTAGGAATTCACCATTCATGCTTACTTTGTGATTACTGAGTTTCTATTTCAATTCAATGGAAATGGATTTGGTTTTTGTTTGTTTTTATGAGGATTTGTTGTACATATTATTACATCACCCAGGTGTTAAGCTCAGTACTGGATAATTACCTTTTCTGTTCCTCTCCCTCCTCCCATCCTTACACCTTGTGAAAAGTAGAGTCATGTTTCTCCTTTACTTAAAATTTCTCTAATGTCTTTCTCTATCAGAATAAAAATTAAAGTTCTTGGTATGACCCACAGGGCCTTTATGATCTGACTCTGACCTCATTTTATTTTTTTAGACGAGGCCCCACTCTGTTGCCCAGGCTGGAGTTAGTGCAATGGAGATCTGAGCTCACTGCAATCTCCACCTCCCTGGCTCAAACAGTCCTCCTGCCTCAGCCCCCTGAGTATCTGGGACTAGCACACGCCACCATACACAGCTAATATTTGTATTTTTTTGTAGATTTTGTTTTTGTTTTTGTTTTTCAGATGGGGTCTCACTCTGTCACCCAGGCTGGAGTGCAGTGGCACAATCTTGGCTCACTGTAACCTTTGACTCCAGGGTTCAAGCAATTCTTGTGCCTCAGCCTCCTTAGTAGCTGGGACCACAGGCACGCACCACCATATTTTGGCAGAGACAGGGTTTTGCCATGTTAGCCAGGCTGGTCTCAAACTTCTGAGCTGGACCAATTCATCAGCCTTGGCAACCAAAAGTGCTGGGATTATAAGCGTGAGCCACTGCACCCAGCTTAATTTTCTAAGTTTTTTTCTTCTTTTTTATTTTTTATTTTCCTTATTTTCTAAAAGGTCTCTCCACCCTAGTCATCCTGTCCTGCTTGCTGTTTCTCATATACTTCAGGCAAAATTCCACCTCAGGGCCTTTGTACTTACTATTTTCTCTGTTGATAATTTAAAAGGAAGATGCTTAGGCACAAAATATAATTTAAAGAGTTTACTTGAGCCCAAGTGAGAGCAGCTGGTTGGAAGAGTAAGACCCAAGTAACCTTGAATACGAACTCCATTCAGCCTTTGCTACCAGCAGGTTTTTAAAGGCTTAAAGGGGGCACACAGAGTGGGCTGATAAAACCATTTGGCAGGAATTCTCAGTTTACAGAAATAACATTGATTAGTGATTGGCTACACATTGTTAAGCTATAGGGCATGGATTATAGTGTCATGTGGCATTATTAGGTTAATTTATAGCTACTTGTGGCAACAGCAAGCAATTTCAAGGGATGAATACATAGCTCAAAGCATGGAGTAGAATGTCATTGCCGTCTCATTTTAATCTCTCTCTGGGCCTGACAATTTAAAAGGACTTACATTCCTCAGGTAAACAAAAGTCATCTTCTCAGTGAGACTTTGGTATCTAAAATATCACCCCATCTAACATTTCACATTTCCTCTCCTCTCTTGCTTTTTTTCTCCTTAACATTAATTCATTCTCTAACAACCATATTTTTATTTATTTATTTTTACTTTCTTTCCTATTGAAACTGTAAACTCCATTAGGGCAGATATTTTATCTATGTTGAGCATTACTGAACCTCTGGTGCCTAGAACATAGTAGGACTTAGTAAATATATGTTGAATAAATAAATCCCTGAATTCTAGAATTTAATGAAGAGTTTGGCTATAGGGAGTCTCTGCTTCTGAATAATACTAAACAACCACCTTCTTGTTTAATTAGAGGCCGTTAGTAGTAGTAGTAGTATTTGAGACTGAATCTGTCTCTGTCACCCAGGCTGGAGTGCAGTGGCACCATCTCAGCTCACTGCAACCTCTGCCTCCCGGGCTCAAACCATCCTCCCACCTCAGCCTCCTGAATAGCTAGTACTACAGGTGCTCACCACCATGGCTGGCTAAGTTTTATATTTTTTTTGGTAGGGACAGGGTTTCACCATGTTGCAGAGGCTAGTCTCGAACTCCTGGTCTCAAGTGATCTGCCCACCTCAGCCTCCCAAAGTGCTAGGATTAGAGGCACGAGCCACCATGCCAGACCAAGGCTATTATTCTAACTTAGAGTTTTTTTATTTGTTTCACTCTGTTTTTCCTACAGAGTCATTATTTCTTCAACAGATGTATCTCAAATCAGAAGCTGGCTAAGATCATCCTGGAACTTCAAATTTCCTAACATCAGAGGTGCAATAAAACTTTGGACAAATAGAGTATGGTCTATATACAGCTTGTGTCAGAACTGCATAACTCAGGTATGGACGTGACATCCCTGTTTTCAGCAGTATAGTTTTCCTACACACTTGGTGTTTATGTACATATGTGCTCAGGTCAGTCCAACCCTCGGGCTAAACTCAGATAAGATGAAATTATTGAGTTATGACTGCCTTTGCTTCTATAAAACATACATCAAGTCATTTTCTGGTTCCTATTTTCTTGTCCTTATCATATTACTCATAGGACTCAGCATTGTTTATTATTAATTTCAGAGTTTAGAAGTATTGAAAGACACCATCTTTCCATCTCGTATCTGCCACCGAGAACTTTACAGTCTAAAACAACAGCTTTGCATTTTGGAAAGTAGATTATGCAAGCTCCAGGAAGCCCTGAAGGTTAGTATTGTCAAATAAAAAGTAAATCTGGAATTAGGTAAGGAGACACTTTATTTGAAAAGACTATTACAATAGGGAAAATGCTGAAGTCATAAGATTTATATCTCAAACATAAAGCAAAAAAGTTTTCTTTGTTAGCAAGGAATAAATAAAGCTAGAACAAGCCAGGTATGGGAAAGCAGGATGAAGAGTTGGGGTAATCTGATCAGACAGCTGATCAAATCAGGGAACATCTTTCCCTTAAAGTTGTTCAGCTTGCTGATGCTTGCTGAAGCCCAAGAATAGGTCAAGGTTCTAGGGCCTATGGGGAGGGCTAAATCCTGACTAAAGTTTGGTCAAGTCAAGTTAGTAGATATTTTTGTCCAGATTGGTCAGTGGCATTGAACAGTTCAGCTAATCACTTAGCAGACAAAGAATGGGCATTTGGAGGGTCTGTATGTGGGTTTGTCAGATAAACAAGAGAGCCATCCATAAATCTTATCCAACTGATATGGAAAAAGTTGGTTCCATATAGCTTCCAAAATAGTTGCTCTCTTGTTATTGAGAAGGGCCTAAGTTAATAATTAGGTAACATCTATCAAAATTTTCAAAATATATATCTTTTGATGCAACCAAATTTTGTACAGATGTAAAAAGTTATTTATTGCAGTGTGATTTGAAAAATTGCAAACGAAACTAAGTGTCAAAGAGTATGGGATTAATTGCATAAATTATAATCCATTCATTCAATGGAATACTATGTAGCTGTTAAGAAGAATGAGGTGGTTTTTTATGTACTAATGAGGTATGACCTCAAGAATACACCATCAGTCCCTTGCCGACTAAGAAAACTTTTGTTAAAAGAATACACTAACTTTTGTTAAAAGAATACACTGTGGGATTACAGGTGTAGTGGCTCACGTCTGTAATCCTAACACTTTGAGAGGCCAAGGTGGGTGGATCACTTGAGGCCAGGAGTTTGAGAGCAGCCTGGCCAACATGGCAAAACCCCATCTCTACTAAAAATACAAAAAATTACTGGGGCATGGTGACACGCACCTGTAATCCCAGCTACTCCAGAAACTGAGGCAGGAGAATCCTTGACACCCAGGAGGCAGAAGTTGCAGTGAGCCAACATCATGCCACAGCACTCCAGACTGGGCAACAGAGCATGACTGTGTCTCAAAAAAATAAAATAATAAAAATAATAATACACTATCAAATTAAGTGTAGAAGTATATTCAGAACAGTGTTTATAGGATGTTCCCAGTATATATATATTTTTTTCCTAAGACAGAGTTTTGCTCTTGTTGCCCAAGCTAGGGTGCAATGGCGCAATCTCAGCTCACCACAACCTCTGCCTCCTAGGTTCAAGCAATTCTCCTGTCTCAGCCTTCTGAGTAGCTGGGATTACAGGCATGTGCCACCACATCCGTCTAATTTTTATATTTTTAGTAGAGGCAGGGTTTCGCCATGTTGGTCAGGCTGTTCTTGAACTCCTGACCTCAGGTGATCCGCCTGCCTCACCCTCCCAAAGTGCTGGGATTACAGGCATGAGCCACCATTCCCAGCCTGTTCCCACTATTAAATTAGATGTAGAAGTATATTTAGAACAGTGTTTATAGGCTATTCCCATGTATTATTAAAATGTTTAACTTTGGGAGGCCAAGGTGGATAGATCACTTAAGGTCAAGAATTCAAGACCACCCTGGCCAACATGATGAAACTTCGTCTCTACTAAAAACACAAAAACTAGCCATGCCTGGTGGCACACGCCTGTAGTCCCAGCTACTCAGGAGGTTGAGGCAGGAGAATCATTTGAACCCAGGGGGCAGAGGTTGCAGTGAGCTGTAATCGTGCCACAGAGTGAGATTCTGTCTCAAAAAAAAAAAAAAAAAAAATGGATTTTTTTTTTTTTTTTTTGAGATGGAGTCTTGTACTGTTGCCCAGGCTGGAGTGTAGTAGCGTGATCTTAGCTCACTGCAACCTCCACCTCCCAGGTTCAAGCAATTCTCCTGCCTCAGCCTCCTGAGTAGCTGGGACTATAGGTGCCCACAACCACACCTGGCTAATTTTTGTATTTTTAGTAGAGATGAGGTTTTATCAAGTTACCCAGGGTGGTCTTGAACTCCTGACCTCAAGTGATCTTCTTGCCTCAGCCTCCCAAAGTGCTGGGACTCTAGGCATGAGCCATAGTGCCAGGCCTAAATAAAATTGAGACTAGGTGGGACTCCAAAAATAAAAATAACTAAATTAAACATAAAATAAAACTAATTGATGAGTTGAGAATTTGATTCTAGAAGTAAATTCATTGCTTTTTTGAATTCCTATAATTTTGTAACGTTTTTGTCAGAGTAGTTTGCTGTGGGTGACAAGGCAGTATTCAAATAGACCTTAAAAATAAATTTTTTAGCTGAGGGTGGTGTACACATTGTAGTCCAAATTACTCAGGGGACTGAGGTGGGAGGATTCCTTGAACCTAGGGACAATCTAGCCCATTGCATTCTAGCCAGGGCAATATAGTGAGAAAAAAAGTTGTGTTTTTTTTTTTTTTTTTTTTTTTTTAATTTAAAAAGTCTAGAATGAGAGAGAGAGAGAGAGAGAGAAAGAGAGAGTGTGTTTGTGTGTGTGTGTGTGTGTGTGAGAAATAATTCTATAAAGCTTCCCTTCTCTCCTTCACCTCTAGGATACACACTCTACCTTTCATAACTTTTCTCCTATTTCAGCTCTTCATATAATTTAACCCCAAATCACTAGTCCCAATGTACCAGGGAGGATGGTGTTATAGAACAAAGAATGAAGCTTATGTTATTTCCTTCACTAAGAAAGCTCCTAGAAGGCTGTATCAGTCAAAATTCTTTTTAGCCGCAAGTGACAGAAACACAATGCAACCTGGCTTAAGCCCATAAAACCAGTAAGTCTAGGGTATCTCTGGATTCAGAGGCTCAAATGATAGTCAGCATCCTGGCTCTATCTCATCTTTCAGTTCTGCCTTCTTTAGAGTAAGTTTATGTTCCAGACAGACTCTCCCCTTGTGCCAGCAACATGGCTGCTGGCAGCCTTAGATTCTTATTCTCATACCAGAACAATCTCAGCTGAGAGAACTTGGCCTGGATTATGTGTCTAGCCCTTGAGTGAGTATCCCTACCAGATCATGTGGACTGAGGGAGAGAAGGGAAACCCAGGTGCTTTTACCAGAAGATGGAGGAATGGCCACAGGTGAGTGCTAGTCCCTGGGGCTGTTTGCCCCACTTCAGAAACTCTGCTCTGTATTGCTGGGAGGGCTGGCTCCTGCAGGATATATTCCTCAAACTCCAGGTCACCTGGTTCCTGGTTGTGATGGCCTATTGGAAGACACTGATGAAAGACTAGAGGGAGGGAGGAGACAAGGAATTTCTTCCTCTCCTCTTTGCTGCATGATTTCTTCAGCAATGGTAATTGTTGCCTGCCTGGCCTCATCTCCCACAGAAGTCATGCTCCAGATCCTTGGCCTTTATCAGTTTCTTGAATGTACTATATTCTTGACTGCATTAAATATTTTTTCCTCCGAAAGGAACTCTTCCTGTAGTCCTTATCTCTCTTTATCTGCTAAGTCTCCATTCATTCTTGAGATCATGGCTAAATATCACTTCCTAAGACTCTAGCTGTTCATTCTCACAGCACACTTCATTGCTCTTACTGAAGTATTGTTTTGTTTTGAGTGTGTTTGTGCATGTTTTGTTTTGTTTTGTTTCACATGAGGTCTCACTATGTTGTCCAGGCTGGTCTCGAGCTCCTGGACTCAATTTGCTAGACTCAGCCTTGCAGAGTGCTGGGACTACAGGTGTCTGTCACTGTGCCCGGCCTTCTGTGCATGTTTAATGTCTGTCTTCCCTCACCAGACTGTCAGCACCATGAGGTGACAGACAGGGCCTATGTTGTACTTATAGTGCCTGGCATATAGCACATACAAAATAAATGAATGAATGAATGAAATGAAGAAACTTGTGATCATACATGAGAAAATATTATGACCCACATGATAAGATAGCATTCAATACATGGTAGCTATTATTTTGATGATGGTCACCTTCAGGAATCAAATTAACTTGCTATTTATTTGCCAAATGTGATGTCTTCTTCCAGACTATCTCAGAAAGTTCTTCCTGTCCAAGCTGTGGTCAAACGTGTCACATGGGTAAACTTACAAATGTGCCTGCCTGTGTTCTAATCACCCCCGAAGACTCCAAAGCTGTGCTTCCTCCCACACTGCCACAGCCGACCAGCCATCTTCCTCCTCCACCTCCACCTCCTCCTCCTCCTCCTCCTCCTCCACCACTTCCTCCACCACCACTAGCACCTGTGCTGCTCCGAAAACCCAGTCTCGCTAAAGCACTTCAGGTAGGAAACAATCTAGTAATTATATGTTTTGGTCTGTGTGTAATATAGGAGTAAAGCCAAGTGGCCTTTTAAAGCCAGGCTAATCAGGGCTTGGGCCAGAAGGCTGTATTTTGTTCTCATTCCATATCTTAATTATTGTGTTTTTAAAATCTCAGTCCCTGAGGAATTCCTAGAAGCTGGATTGAGAAATGAAAGTGATGTGTGTGAAACCCAGTGTAGTGGAAGATTCCTATTCCCTTCTCAGCATGGCTTTTTACCCAGAGGAAAACCTCCCTAGGAAACCAAATTAAGAATAGAAGATTGTTTAGTGAGTGACTCAGAACGAAGAGTTAGCTGATTCCAAAGTTTCATGTCATTAGGCTGGTGAACCAATCTCTATTATAGTTACTTTTTTTTTTTTTTTTTTGAGACGGAGTTTCACTCTTGTTACCCAGGCTGGAGTGCAATGGCGTGATCTCGGCTCACCGCAGCCTCCGCCTCCTGGGTTCAGGCAATTCTCCTGCCTCAACCTCCTGAGTAGCTGGGATTACAGGCATGCGCCACCATGCCCAGCTAATGTTTTATATTTTTAGTAGAGACGGGGTTTCACCATGTTGACCAGGATGGTCTCGATCTCTTTTTTTTGTTTGTTTGTTTTTTGGTTTTTGGTTTCTTTTTGAGACGGAGTTTCACTCATGTTACCCACGCTGGAGTGCAATGGCGCGATCTCAGCTCACCGCAACCTCCACCTCCTGGGTTCAGGCAATTCTCCTGCCTCAGCCTCCTGAGTAGCTGGGATTACAGGCACGCGCCACCATGCCCAGCTAATTTTTTGTATTTTTAGTAGAGACGGGGTTTCACCGTGTTGACGAGGATGGTCTCGATCTCTTGACCTCGTGATCCACCCGCCTCGGCCTCCCAAAGTGCTGGGATTACAGGCTTGAGCCACCGCACCCGGCTATAGTTACTTATTTACCAAGGGGACCAGAAAATTTGTGAATCACTAAGACAGGCATGACCCTGTTTTAAAATCTGCTGAATTTTCACTATGAATACATTTAGTTTAATGTAGCTAAATTAAATCCAGAGTCTTCCCAACCCGGACACACACACACACACACACACACACACACACACACACACGAAAAAAAATCCAGAGCCTATTGTTATGTTTGCCCTAATTATACCTCTCTGAGTATATACATTCTTGCTCTGTGAGAACTGAGTCATCTTTCTAGGTAATTCAAACAAAACTTCAGTTTAACCTGATTAACTCCTTCAAATCTTGTCTTATTATGACTCTTGGGGAAGATGCATTATTGCAGGAAACTAGTCTATCTCTTATTTGTTAGCAAAGCTTAAGCTTATAAAAACAAAATTGGGGAGAGGGAAGCCTTACATTTTGATGAATACTTTTTGATGGGTGATAAAAAACAGGATTATTCTTAGTTGAGTGGAAAGAATATGACAGATTCCTAGGGTAAATAAGAGTTACCTCTTGGCCGGGCGCGGTGGCTCAAGCCTGTAATCCCAGCACTTTGGGAGGCCGAGGTGGGTGGATCACGAGGTCAAGAGATCGAAACCATCCTGGTCAACATGGTGAAACCCCGTCTCTACTATAATTACAAAAAAATTAGCTGGGCATGGTGGCGTGTGCCTGTAATCCCAGCTACTCAGGAGGCTGAGGCAGGAGAATTGCCTGAACCCAGGAGGCGGAGGTTGCGGTGAGCCGAGATCGCGCCATTGCACTCCAGCCTGGGTAACAAGAGCGAAACTCCATCTCAAAAAAAAAAAAAAAAAAAAAAAAGAGTTACCTCTTAACTGTGAGTCTTTAAAAACTAGATTTGGATTTGCATTTCACTAGTTGTGCTGGTTCCAATTTGAATTCTAACTGCACCATATATTTTAAGGCTGGACCATTAAAAAAAGATGGACCCATGCAGATAACAGTTAAAGATCTGCTGACTGTAAAATTAAAGAAGACACAGAGTTCAGATGAAAGGAGGAAGGTAAGATGTCATTGACCATACATATGTTCTGTTTGCCTTTAACCTTGTTGTCCCTTTATGGAAAATAAGCATAAGCCTTATATATAGAAGTCATTCTAGGCAGGGTGCAGTGTCTCATGCCTGTAATCCTAGCACTTTGGGAGACCAAGTTGGAAGGATCACCTGAGCCCTGGAGTTCAAGACCAGCCTGGGGAACATGGCAAGACCTCATCTCAATTTGTATACAATTGTCAAGAGTGGGTGGAAGAAGTCATTTCAAGTTTTTGATGTTTTATTTTAGTAGTTTTGGATTTCCCAACAAAATGTGTATATTAGAAAATGATTTAATTAGATTTAATTCAGACTCCCAACCATTAGTCTGAAGAGGTAGAGACATCCTTTGAAGCTCTGGAATAAAAATTGGGTGGAATAGTGGATATGCCTTACACATACTCAACACTCAGATATTTGCCATTTTTGCATGTTTACGTCTTGAATGATATTTTAAAATGTGTTTTAACAATATCTCATTTTATAATTAAAGATTATACCATCGCCGAAGGCACGGAATCCACTAGTTACTGTCTCTGACTTGCAGCGTGTTACCCTGAGACCTAACTCCAAAATATTATCAACTCGAGTTACAAATTTCTTAATGTAAGGAACTGCACAGTGCTATGCTCTACTACTACTTAAAGAATGATATTGTTGTACAAGGGCCTAAAAACAGGAAAAATGACCTTTTTTTGCTTATTTTTAATGTTAAAAGTTATATATGCTCATTATAGAAAAATTGAAATCTACAGAAAAGTTTAAAAAAGAAAACAAAAATTATCTAAATAATCCTATCATTGGAGATTGTCATGGTTAACATACTGCTGTTTATTATTCTAGTCTTTTTCTGGGCATATGCTTTATTGCCCCATTTAAAGATGTTGTTTATTATAAAATGTGTCATTGATTTAATAACAGATTTTGGGAGAAAAATATTCTATCAAGAATTTTAGGATAGACGTGATGGCTTATGTCTGTAATCCCACCACTTTGGGAAGCCAAAGTGGGAGGATTGCTTGAGGCGAGGCATTTAAGACCAGCCTGGGCAATGTAGTGAGACCCTCATCTCTAAAAAAAATAATTAAATTAAAAATTAGCCAGATGCAGTGGTGTGTGCCTGTAGTCCCAGCTACTTGGGAGGCTGAAGCAAGAGGATCACTTGAGCCCAGGAGGTCAAGGCTGCAGTGTGAAGTGACTGCGCCACTGTACTCCAGCCTGAGCAACAGAGAGAGATTCCATCTTGAAAACAAGAAAAATCCTAAATGTCTCAAAACAAGATTTTATCTATGAAATTTACATACAATGAACTGCCTATTTTGAAGATGTCAAAGTGATACTTTAATTTTCAAAAAGATGAAGAAGCCGGGCGCGGTGGCTCAAGCCTGTAATCCCAGCACTTTGGGAGGCCGGGTGGATCACGAGGTCAAGAGATCAAGACCATCCTGGTCAACATGGTGAAACCCTGTCTCTACTAAAAATACAAAAAAATTTGCTGGGCATGGTGATGCATGCCTGTAATCCCAGCTACTCAGGAGGCTGAGGCATTGCCTGAACCCAGGAGGCAGAGGTTGCGGTGAGCCGAGATCGCACCATCGCACTCCAGCCTGGGTAACAAGAGCGAAACTCCGTTTCAAAAAAAAAAAAAAAAAAAGATGAAGAGAGTTCATGATCTATTGAATGGGAAAATCTATATCTACAATACGATAATACACAGACATATATACATATATACCATGTTTCCAAGACATGCTAGTTTTCATATTATATAATTTCTCAAAGCAGGCTGTTTAAATTTTTTTTTCCCAAGATGTGGTCTTGCTCTGTTGCCCAGACTGGAGTGCAGTGACACGATATCGGCTCACTGTAACCTCCACCTCCTGGGTTCAAGTGATTTTCCTGCCTCAGCCTCCTGAGTAGCTGGGATTACAGGCACATGCCAACACACCTGGCTAATTTTTGTATTTTTTGAAGAGATGGGGTTTCACCATGTTGATCAGGCTAGTCTCAAACTCCTGACCTTGTGATCTACCCGCCTTGGCCTCCCAAAGTGCTGGGATTATAGGCATGAGCCACCTCAACCAGCCTCTACTCCTATTTTTTAATGTAACACATAGAACTACTTTCTAGGACATTGCCTTTAGAAATGATTGCTTTCCTTTGGGAAAAAATAATAAAATCTCACAAGTTCTAATTTTTATATCTTTGTTTTATCAGTACTCCTGGAAAAAGTCAGATCGATCTGCGGAAACTGCTTAGAAAAGTCGATGTAGAGAGGTAATACATTCTCTTTTCTTTATGCTTTCTAAATCCATTTTAAAACTTGGCATAAAACACAGCTACTATTATTTTTAATACCTTTGCAGGAGCCCAGGTGGAACCCCTCTTACCAATAAAGAAAATATGGAAACAGGAACAGGACTGACTCCAGTAATGACACAGGCCTTAAGGAGAAAATTTCAGGTAACCCTTTAGGAAAAAAATATTGGTTCCTTTGCTTGAAAATAATTAGGGCTTGGCCGGGCGCGGTGGCTCAAGCCTGTAATCCCAGCACTTTGGGAGGCCGAGGCGGGTGGATCACGAGGTCAAGAGATCGAGACCATCCTGGTCAACATGGTGAAACCCCGTCTCTACTAAAAATACAAAAAATTAGCTGGGCATGGTGGTGCGTGCCTGTAATCCCAGCTGCTCAGGAGGCTGAGGCAGGAGAATTGCCTGAATCCAGGAGGCAGAGGTTGCGGTGAGCCAAGATCGCGCCATTGCACTCCAGCCTGGGTAACAAGAGTGAAACTCTGTCTCAAAAAAAAAAAAAAAAAGAAAAGAAATTAATTAGGGCTGGTATGGTGGCTCCTGCCTGTAATCCTAACACATTGGGAGGCTGAGGGAGGGGGGATTGCTTGAGCCTAGGCTTCGATATGGGCAACATAGTGAAACTATGTCTCTACAAAAAATACAGAAAAGTAGCTAGGTGTAGAGGTGCATGCCTATAGTTCCAGCGACTTGGGAGGCTGGTGTGGGAGGATCACTTGAGCCTAGGAGGTCAAGGCTGCAGTGAGCTGTGATTGCACCACTGCACTCTAGCCTGGGTGATAAAGCAAGACCCTATCTCAAAATAAATAAATAAATAATCATAATCATAATTTATGATAATAATTTAAAGGAGCTTTCTTAGTAATAATAATTTTTAAATGGTGCCCTGTGTTTTGCAAAGTACTTTCATATTAGGCTTCATAAAATTCTACAAAATATAGGTAGGGCCAGGCGTGGTGGCTCACGCCTGTAATCCCAGCAGTTTGGGAGGCCGAGGTGGGCGAATCCCAATGTCAGGAGATTGAGACCATCCTGGCCAACACAGTGAAACCCCATCTCTACTGAAAAAAAAAGATTAGCCAGGTGTGGTGGCACGCGCTTGTAGTCCCAGCTACTCAGGAGGCTGAGGCAGGAGAATCGCTCGAACTCAGGAGGCGGAAGTTGCAGTGAGCTGAGATCAAGCCATTTGCATCCAGCCTGGGTGACAAAGTGAGACTCTGTCTCAAAAAAAAAAAAAAAAAGATTCACATTACTTTAAAAATAATAATAATAATAATAAATACAAGTAGAATTGGCCAGGCACAGTGAGATCATGCCTGTAATCTCATCACTTTGAGAGGCTGAGGTGGGCAGATCACATGAGGCAAAGATTTTGAGACCAGACTGCCCAACGTGATGAAACCCTGTCTCTACTAAAAAAATACAAAAATTAGGCCGGGCGCGGTGGCTCAAGCCTGTAATCCCAGCACTGTGGGAGGCCGAGGCGGGTGGATCACGAGGTCAAGAGATCGAGACCATCCTGGTCAACATGGTGAAACCCCGTCTCTACTAAAAATACAAAAAATTAGCTGGGCATGGTGGTACATGCCTGTAATCCCAGCGACTCAGGAGGCTGAGGCAGGAGAATTGCCTGAACCCGGGAGCAGAGGTTGCGGTGAGCCGAGATCGCGCCATTGCACTCCAGCCTGGGTAACAAGAGCGAAACTCCGTCTCAAAAAAAAAAAAAAAAATACAAAAATTAGCTGGGTGTGGTGGCCATGCCTATAATCCCAGTTACTTGGGTGACTGAGGCATGAGAATCACTTGAACCTGGGAGGCGAAGGTTGCAGTGAGCTGTGATTGCACTACTACACTCCAGGCCTGGGTGACAGGGTGATACGCTGTCTCAAAAAAAAAAAAAAGAAAGAACTATAGGTAGGATTATCATGTCTATCCATACATGTCTGATTTTATTAGTTCCTTTAGTAAATATTTATTAAGCACTTCCTATATGCCCAGCAGTGTGCTAAAATACTGGGGATATAGTGGTAAGCAAAAACAGATACAGATCTACTGTCTTGAAGCTTTCAGTCTAGTGGGGAAAATAGGCATTCATCAAATGATCCCTTATTTGTATACTATCACACTGCAGTATGTGCTCTGAAGGAAAGGAACGAGGTTCTGTGGGAACTCAGAGAGGAACTTGATCTAGCCTGGATGATCTAGGAAGGACTCCCTTAGGAAGTGTTGATGCTTGAGGTGAGAGTCAAGGAGGAAGAGGCATTTACTGGACAGGGTAACCGTGGGGTGGGTCCACCATGAATGTCATGGAGGAGAGAGTTCCAGGCAAAAAGAACAACATGCATAAGAGTCCCATGGTGGGAGGGATCATGGAATGATCTCAAGGAATTGAGAAGTGACCAGTGTGTCTGTAACATAGAGAGGGAGCCCGATGGTGGTGAAAGACAGGGATGGAGATGTGTTTAGGAGTCAGACCATGCAGAGTTGATAGGAAAAGGTCTTGACAGCTTTCTTTGTCACCTACATGTACAACCACACACCAAAACCAGTAGATCAGCTGGCCCTGGTGTTACTTCTTCCAAACCCTGTTGATCTTAGTCATTTCCCTGATTGCCTTTATCATTAGATCTGTGAAGAACAGCCATCCACTGGCCACCCCTGCTTGAGTGCTAGGACGCAGGGCTGCTGGCATCTTTGGCTTTGAACTTCATAGTTCATTCTCCCTCTGGATGCAGGACATATCAGACTCCACTGCTGACATTCTCCACCCCAATACTGTCTTCCTTTTCTTCCCTGTTTGAGAATCCGTGCTTTTTGTGGGACAATATGATTCCTCTCTTACCAGTCAACTTGGTCCTCCTAGGCAATATACAGCTTTCTCTGGAGATGTGACCAGGTTCTTCTTTCCTTCTCTTAGAGCATTCTACCCCTAATCACATTCCTTGGTGATACCCAAAATTGTGAAGGGCGGGAGCAAAGGGAAGAGGCCTGACGGAAGGTCTTAGCCCCTTCCTTTTTCTGTTTAGCTCTAAGATCCTTGTTGTCACTGCCCCACTTTATAACCAGTACAGTGAGTTGAGAACTCTGGAAATGGATAAACAGTAATAAATAGCAAGGCCACATATTGAACAACAACAAAAATCACAGATAAGATCTATGCCAGGCCGGGCACGGTGGCTCAAGCCTGTAATCCTAGCACTTTGGGAGGCCGAGGCGGGTGGATCACGAGGTCAAGAGATCGAGACCATCCTGGTCAACATGGTGAAACCCCGTCTCTACTAAAAATACAAAACATTAGCTGGGCATGGTGGCGCGTGCTTGTAATCCCAGCGACTCAGGAGGCTGAGGCAGCAGAATTGCCTGAACCCAGGAGGCGGAGGTTGCGGTGAGCCGAGATCATGCCATTGCACTCCAGCCTGGGTAACAAGAGCGAAACTCCGTCTCAAAAAAAAATAAAAATAAAAATAAAATAAAATCTACTAAGGAGGAGGATGTCTAGTTAAAACTGTTGTTAGATACAGATGACTTATCCCATCCAGCCCTTAGGCTTCGACTTCTTTTTTCCTTAAACTCTGAATCAACTGTATCAGGTTTTGCATTTGGCTTTAGGTAACAGAAATCTGACTACAGTGGTTTAATCCAGTAGGGACATGGTAGGGTGTGATGGCTCACCCCTGTAATCCCAGTGCTTTGGGAGGCTGAGGCCGGAAAATCACTTGAGGCTATGAGTTTGAAACCAGCCTGGGTGATACAGCAAGACCCTGCCTTGTCAAATAAATAAATAGATTAGGACTTTTTTTTTTTTTTTTTTTAAATATACACAACTAACTCATTTTTGTTTTTCTGTAATTTACAGACAAGATCTCACTGTGTCTCCCAGGCTGGTCTCGAGCTCCTGGGCTCAAGTAAGCCTGCTGTCTCGGCCTCCCAAAGTGCTGGGATTATAGGTGTGAGCCATCACACCCTACCATGTCCCTACTGGACAGCATGAGCCACTGTACTCGACCCACAACTATCTCTTTTTTTTTTTTTAATTTATTTTTTATTTCAACAGGTTTTTGGGGAATAGATAGTGTTTGGTTACACGAATTAGTCCCTTAGTGGTGATTTCTGAGATTTTGATGAACCCATCACCCAAGCAGTGTACACTGTTCCCAATGTATAGTCCTTTATCCCTCAAGACCTTCCCACTCTTTCCTTCCCCAAGTCCCCAAAGTCTGCTGTATCATTCTTATGCCTTTGCATCCTCATAGCTTAGCTCCCAGACTTATTTTTTAAATTTAAATATTTCTTTAGGAAGTAGGAAGTCCACAACTATAATACATTGGCTTCACTATATCATCACGGTTTTTCCATCCTTAATATGTGGTTTTTATCCTCATGATACAAAATGGCTACATTTTCTGAAGCATCATGTCCACATTCTAGGCAAGTGGTGAAGAAAGGCAAATGTTAAGCTAAGCTACGCCTCATTTCTTCAAAAAAGCCCTATCCAGGAACTTCTGATTGCATCAGGGAAACTGGGAAAAGTGGTATTTAGACTCTGAATGCAGTGTTGCCCTGCAAAAAATCTGGGTTCTGTTGAGAAAGGAAAGTTGTGTTTATCACAGGAATATAATTGATATTATAATTGGGTTTTTTTTTTTTTTATAGCTGGCTCACCCTAGAAGCCCAACTTCAACTCTACCACTTTCTACAAGCAGCTTTGATGAACAAAACTGATGCCAACTCTGCCTGACTCCATGTGACGATCCGTAAAACATACAAATGAAAACACCCAGCTGAGTGCGGTGGCTCACACCTGTAATCCCAGCACTTTGGGAGGCCCACGTGGGTGGATCACCTGAGGTCAAGAGTTCAAGACCAGCCTGGCCAACATGGCAAAACCCTGTCTCTACTAAAAACACAAAAAATTAGCTGGGCATGATGGCAGGCACTTGTAATCTCAGCTACTCAGGGGGCTGAGAATTGAGAATCTCTGTTGCCCAGGCTGGAGTACAGGGGCACAATCTTTGCTCATTGCAACCTCTACCTCCTGGGTTCAAGCAATTCTCCTGCCTCAGCCTCCCGAGTATATATATGTGTATATATATGTATATATAAATATTTTTTGAGATGGAATCTCACTCTGTTGCCCAGGCTGGAGTACAGTGGCTCAATCTTGCCTCACTGCAACCTCCACCTCCTGGGTTCAAGCAATTCTCCTGCCTCAGCCTCCCAAGTACCTGGGATTACAGGTGTGTACCACCTTGCCCAGCTAATTTTTATATTTTTAGTAGAGGCAGGGTTTCACTGTGTTGGCCAGGCTGGTCTTGAACTCCTGACCTCAGGTGATCCACCTGCTTTGGCCTCCCAAAGTGTTGGGATTACAGGCATGAGTCACCACAGCCAGCCAGAGATCCACATCTATATTTATAACACATTTATGTATGAAAATTAAGCAGGTGGCTGGGCACAGTGGCTCACACCTGTAACTCCAACGTTTTGAGAGGCTGAAGCAGATGGATCACTTGAGGTCAGGACTTTGTGACCAGCCTGGCCAACATGGTGAAACCCATCTCTACAAATACAAAATACAAACCCATCTCTACTAAAAATACAAAATTTGTATTTTGTATTTTTAGTAGAGATGGGTTTCACCTAGAATTACAGGCACCATGACTCATGCCTATAATTCCAAGACTTGTATTCTACTAAAAATACAAAATTAGCCACGAGTGGTGGCACATGCCTGTAGGCCCAGTTACTTGGGTGGCTGAGGCTGGAGAATCGCTTGAACCTGGGAGGCAGAGGTTGCAGTGAGAAGATTGCACCACAGCGCTCCAGCCTGGGTGACAGAGCAAGAGACTCCGTCTCCAAAAGAAAAAAAGAAAATTAAGTAGGTAATGAAGTTAAGAGATATATCAGCTTCTAGTAAAAGTTGTTTTTTTAAAAACCTGTGCTGGGCTCAGTGGTTCACGCATTTAATCCCAGCACTTTGGGAGGCCAAGATAGGCAGATCACCGTGTCAGGCGTTCGAGACCAGCCTGGCCAATATGATGAAATCCCGTCTCTACTTAAAAAATACAAACAAATTAGCTGGGCATGGTAGTGTGAGCCTGTGATCCCAGCTACTCAGGAGTCTGAGGCAGGAGAATCGCTTGAACCAGGGAGGCAGAGGTTGCAGTGAGCCGAGATCGTGCCATTGCATTACAGCCTGGGCAACAGAGTGAGACTCAGTCTCAAAAAAAAAAAAAAACCTGCTAACTACATTTATATTATGTAAAAATAAAGGGAATAATTGACTAGCCTTAAAAAAAATAATAAATAAAGGTAATAATCACTGAGAATAAAGCAGTTGAATATAACAATAATATTTTATGGGGCACTTATAATGTTTATAATATTGTAAACCACCATGTACTCTATTCATTTAATGCTAAATGACTTGACCATTCCTGTGGGATAGAAGATAGTAAGAAAAATGCTGGGACCAGGCGCCATGACTCACGCCTGTAATCCCAAGACTTTGGGAGGCCAAGGCAGGTGGATGACTTCAGCTCAGGAGTTCAAGACCAGCCTGGGCAAAATGATGAAACCTCGTTCTCTCCCAAAAATACGAAAAACTAGCCAGGTGTGATGGTATGCACCTTCAGTCCCAGCTACTTGGGAGACTGAGGTAGGAAGATGATTTAAGCCCAGGATGTAGCGGTTGCAATGAGCTGAGCTCGTGCCACTGCACTCCATCCTGAGCAGTAGAGTCAAACCCTGTGTTAAAAAAAAAAAAAAAAAAGAGGCCAGGCTTAGTGGCTCGTGCCTGTAATCCCAGCTCTTTGGGAGGCTGAGGGTGGAGCAGATCACTTGAGGCCAAGAGTTTGAGACCAGCCTGGCCAACATGGTGACACCTCATCTCTACCAATATATATATAATATATATAGGTATATAATATGTATGTGTATATATATATATATATATATATATATAAATTATCTGGGCATGGTGGCATGTGCCTATACTCCCAGCTACTCAGAAGGCTGAAACACAAGAATTACTTGAACCCTGGAGGCGGAAGTTGCAGTGAGCTGAGATCACACCACTGCACTCCAGTCTGGGCAACAGAGTGAGACTCTGTCTCAAAAAAAAAAAAAAAAAAAAGAAAGAAAGAAAAAAAATGCTTTATGGCTCAGTGCAGTGGCTCACACTTATAATCCTAGCACTTTGGGAGGCTGAGGCAGGAGGATCACTTGAGGCCAAGAGCTCAAAACAAGCCTGGGCAACATTGCAAGACCCCATCTCTACAAAAAACAAAAATATAGCCAGGTGTGGTGATGTGTGCCTGTACTCCCAGCTACTTGAGAGACTTAGGTGGGAGAATCACTTGAGCCCAGGAGGTTAAGGCTACAGTTAGCTGTGTTCATACCACCACACCCCAGCCTACTGGGTAACAGAGCAAGACTCTGTCTCAAAAAGAAAAGAAAAATGCTGTGCTACATAGTGGGGCCAGGCAGGAAAAAAAAAAAGTCCTATAGAAATCATATAGATAAATATTTGCAAAGCTGCTACTGCCATTGTACCAGTGTTAAAATGTGTTCTACCTTGTATCTTTTACTGATTTTTATGACAGATTTTATATTGCAACCATTTGAGAACTCAGTAAGTGCTATGGCTTCCTTAAACTACTATTTATCATATGCTCCCAGTATGTACTTTGAGACTGAATAGCAACCGGAGAATGTAAACAACCAAACAACCAAGGTACATCTGGTTATGTTTTTAAATAAAGATTAATAAAATTTTGGTTTTTCTCTTTTTTTTTTTTTTTTTTTTTTTTTTTTTGAGACAGGGTCTCACTTCGTCACCAGGTGCCAGGCTGGAGTGCAGTGGCACAATCTCGGCTCACTGCAACCTCCGCCTCCCCGGTTCAAGCAATTCTTCTGCCTCAGCCTCCCGAGTAGCTGCGACTATAGGCGCGTGCCACCATGCCCAGCTAGTTTTTGTATTTTTAGTAGAGATGGGGTTTCACACCAAGTTGGCCAGGATGGTCTCAATCTCTTGATCCACCCGCCTCAGCCTTCCAAAGTGCTGGGATTACAGGCTTGAGCCACCTCGCCTGGCCCTTGGTTTTTCTCTATCTAACCTTTTTTTTTTTTTTTTTTTAAACTAGAAATATAATACCTATAGAAAAGTATATGTTGGCTGGGCGTGGTGGCTCATGCCTATAATTCCAGCACTTTGGGAGGCCAAGGCAGGCAAATCACTTGAGGTCAGGAGTTTGAGATCAGTCTGGGCAACATGGAAAAAACTTGTCTCTACTAAAAATATAAAACTAGCCGGGCATGGTGGCACATGCCTGTAATCCCAGCTACTCAAGAGGCTGAGGCAGAAGAATCACTTGAACTTGGGAGGCGGAGGTTGTGGTGAGTTGAGATTGCCTCGTTGCACTCCTGCACTTCAGTTTGGGCAATTAGAGCGAAACTCTGTCTCAAAAAAAAAAAAGAAAAGTGTACGATAAGTATAGACAAATACATAAATTAAAAAATTAGGTCGGGTGCAGTGGCTCACTCCTGTAATCCCAGCACTTTGGGAGGCCGAGATGGGCAGATCATGAGGTCAGGAGATCCAGACCATCCTGGCCAACATGGTGAAACCCCATCTCTACTAAAAATACAAAAAAAAATTAGCTGGGTGTGGTGGCACACACCTGTAGTCCCATCTACTTGGGAGGCTGAGGCAGGAGAATTGCTTGAACCTGGGGGCGGAGATTGCAGTGAGCCGAGATGGTGCCACTGGGCTACAGCCTGGGCAACAGTGAGAGACTTTGTCTCAAAAAAAAAGGCTGGGGGCCGTGCGCAGTGGCTCACGCCTGTAATCCCAGCACTTTGGGAGGCCAAGGCAAGTGGATCACTTGAGGTCAGGAGTTTGAGATCAGCCTGGCCAACATGGTGAAACCCCATCTCTACCAAAAAAATTACATAAAAATTATCCAGGTGTGATGGTGTGTGCCTATAGTCCCAGCTTCTCAGGAGTCTGAGGCATGAGAGTCACGCGAATCCTAGAGGTGGAGGTTGCAGTGAGCCAAGATCATGCCACTGCACTCCAGTCTGGGCAACAGAGTGAGACCTTGTCTCAAAAAAGGAAAAAAAGAAAAGAAAAATGCTTTATGGCCCAGTGCAGTGGCTCACACCTATAATCCTAGCAATTTGGGAGGCTGAGGCAGGAGGATCACTTGAGGCCAAGAGTTCAAAACCAGTCTGGGCAACATTGCCAGACCCCCATCTCTTAAAAAAAAAAAAAAAAAAAAAAATCTACCTTACATCTTTTAAATAAAGATTAATAAAAGTTTTGGTATTTCTCTTTTTAACCTTTTTTTTTTTTTTTTTTTTTTTTGAGACGGAGTTTCGCTCTTGTTACCCAGGCTGGAGTGCAATGGCGCGATCTTGGCTCACCGCAACCTCCGCCTCCTGGGTTCAGGCAATTCTCCTGCCTCAGCCTCCTGAGTAGCTGGGATTACAGGCACGTGCCACCATGCCCAGCTAATTTTTTGTATTTTTAGTGGAGACGGGGTTTCACCATGTTGACCAGGATGGTCTCGATCTCTTGACCTCGTGATCCACCCGCCTCGGCCTCCCAAAGTGCTGGGATTACAGGCTTGAGCCACCGCGCCCGGCTTTTTAACCTTTTTTCAACTAGAAATATAATACCTATAGAAAAGTATACAATAAATATAGAAAATATATATAAATTCAAAAATTAAGACCGGTTGTGGTGTGGCTCACACCTATAATCCCAGCACTTTGGGAGGCCGACATGGCCGATGTGGGGTTGGGAGTTCAAGACCATCCTGGCCAA